TTACAGAAATCCATGCTGCATAGCTGTCCATGCCAAGAACACTGTCCTAAATTTAACAGTAGAACAACATAACCCCAGAAAGCTCAAGGCACCTAGGCCAGCAGGCAGTCATAGATAAACTCCTGCCAACATACTGGTGCATTATTCTTTTTCCAAATGTTGTGAGCACAGAAAAATAGCTCAGTGATCTTCATTTTTCCTGATGCTAGTGTGTTTTCAATTGTAGAGGCAGAGCAACAGAATTAAAAAGTTGCCAGACTTCAAAGGATGTAGGATTTAACAGCTTGTCAGTTTCTCATAGTCTGGAAGCTTCCACGGGATTCTGGAGTCATGAGTACCATGTTTTTATGACCAGGAAACAGCTGAGGCGGGGAACATCCTACACCAGTGCTGGCGCCTTGCCCACCTCCGCTGGGGAGAAGCGCTCTCGGACAACTGCTGAACTTGCTAAATGAATGCACACGTCTGTTATTTTCACCATGAGCATCCACAGAGAAGAGCTCTATGAGAACTGGGTAAAAGGAAATCATCTCTAGGAAGCCCCTCCAACCCCTTAAGCTACCTGGACATTAGTGTATCCTATGAAAGAGGAACAGTGGCAGAAGTTAAACAAAACCTGTCGGACAGTCTGAAGGCAAAAATAAACAGACAGGAAAGTCGGAACTCCACTTTCCTGCTAATAGCGTGGGTTTGTGCTCCTCTGGCATCACAAGTCTAATTGCCTGGTCTTCTTCTTACTCTCTTCTCAGTGGATTCCTGGCATTTGCTCTGTTGAGTCTGACATGTGGCATGGTTCAAAGAGCTGTGGTTGTCTGTGTTATGATTTCTTATAATCCTCCCTACTGATTCCTGCTAACCCAGGGCTTGCTCCCCCCACTCTGCAAAGCAGCTTCCTCCCCTGCCATGAATGTATCTGCCCCCCAAAAGCTTCTGTTAATGCAGAAAACAAACAGCTGTAATTCAAGAAGAAAGTGAGGGGAAAAATTGAAGCAAAAGAAATCTGGAAGAGGCATTTCTGCCACATGGAGGAATTAAGGAAGTCTTGGGGAGCAACATTCGATCTGGTTTGAAGAGAAAACTCCTCCAAACCATGTAATTTTGTGACACGTGTTGTTATGAAAGTGTCCTTGGGAATGCTTGCTTTGGGTCTTGCTTGCCCTTGTCCCCTTTCCCTTTCGTGCTGACAAGGTCACTCCAGACCTCTACCTCTCATGCATAAATGAGGCCCAACAGTTTTGTGTTTAGTTTACTACTAAAAATTACAAACATTGTATTTTTTCTTGTTTTCAGTTAGACAGCCTTGAGACAACCAGAAAAATAATTTTTATAATAGAAACTGGCTCTTGAGAGCACAGTGTTTTTCAAGAATTATCAACAGAAACACAACTTTGCAGAATTATTCCAGACCTAACGAGCAAATAAGCAATGCTGTTGTGCGAAACATGAAGTGAGCTTTACCAGGCTCCAGGCTGCGACCTGCTGAGGTGATTAAGACTAGGGTTTTGGTGGAAGAACACGACTGTGACCGTCTACTAATCCGAGTGAAAGCCCGTCTCTTCCTCCACAAACCCGGTTTAGGAATGTGGTCCCTAAGCCCCACTCTGTGACTCAGCTCAGAAGATACAGAGAAGAAATGATTCACGCACCAGAAAATTGGAAAGATTTCTTTCCAATTGTTAAGACTCAGCAAGACTGGCTGCGCCACAGTAGGGAGCCAGACTTGATAACACTTGTGTTTTCTCTCCATCCTCACTGTGAACTTGGAAGAAGCTCAGGGTAGCATTTTCCAAGACAAGAGAACCAGTGTTCTTCACCCGTGAATGATTCTACAGCTCCAGAGTGAGTGTATGTGATGGCTTTATCTACAGAGTAAATGGGACTTTGGGGTGATTTTGCTGAAACAATGTGACTTCTGTTTCTCTAAAGGAAGATCTGAATCATGGCCGGGAAAGTTCTGGCTTCTCAGATTTGCCACTGATTGAGCATAAACCTTGGGCCAATCTATGTGCCTCAGATTTTCCATAGATGAGCATCCTATCATGGGTGTATCAGAGACTATATAATTATTTTTATAAGTTAATTTAAAACTTACAAAATTTAAACATTCACCTAATTTAAAACATTCACCTTCAGAGAATACTAGAGTTATTTAATAGGCATAAAACAGCTGATTCAAGCAGCCAACAACAGAGTCTTTGCATGCTACTGAAGAGAGTTTTCACATAGTAACGCCTTGAAATTCCCTTTAAAGATGGTCATCATTCAATAAATTATTATAGGGTTTCACGTTATAAATTTTCTCTGATTCCTCAGACTCTATTCATTCTCAAAGAGAGCAATGCTACCCTGCTCTATGCAGCATAAAATTTCTTATATATGTAATGTTTTATATCATTAAAATAGGCTTTTTTAATATTTGGAAGACAGTTATACAGTATTTACACCCAGTATTTATGGGGATGTATTATGCTCTGAATACCATGCTTATGAAGGGGAATCAGAGACAGCAGAATTCTGGACAGCACCATGAGCAACTGACTGCATTATTGAAAAGCTTATCGAAACTGAGCTCAGATTCAAGATCACCGAGTCCAGTCCTTTACAACTAGATTCCTTTCTGCATCACCTTGGCTGTGACTCTATGCTTGCTTATCTCCATGACAGAGACCTCGCTACCTTCTTGACCAGAGACATTTAGTTGCTGGATGAGCCAGATTTCCATGCACAATTAATCACAATACAGGAATGAAGCAAAATACAGTAGCTGCTGAATCATTTGAAAAAAACAAGCTCTGTATGAGATCAGAGGATGGGGTAATCACCACTGCTGTTGTGGTCAGAAAAAGTTGATTTAAGGTTAAATAACCAATATCTTTTCATTCTTCTGAGAGTACAAGGGTTCATCTTTATTACTACACAAATACCAGTAATAGTAAAGATTTTATTCTTTTTGTTGACAACTAAATATTGCATATGTTTATAAAGCACAACATGTATTTAGATATATGTGTATGTTGTGGAATAGCTGTATTAGATGAACAAACTATCCATCATCCCACATGCTTATTTTGAGGGATGAGAATTTTTTAAGTTGTGTTAGCAATTTTCAAGTATACAACACATTGTTATTTACTATGGTAACTGTGTGGTACAATTTATCTCTCCAAACTCTTCCTCCTTACTGAAAACAACAATAAAAAACCTTCAGAGTCATCTTTGCCCACAAGCCAAGCCAACTTTGTGTGTATGGGTCCACAGCATGTGCTATGCCGACTGCCTCTCCTGGAAATTCTCTCACCTACAAACTTGCTAAGTTTAAACCAGCTTCGAGCAGGGCTAGCACAAGAGGAAACAGACCTACGCTGGGGGAGAGAAGCCTGCTGCCGGTGTTAAGTCCAGGGCCAACCTGAGGGTCTCGGACTCTTCCTCTGACTCAGGTCTTTCCCTCGGTGCCAAGAGAGAATGGAGATGCACTCCAGTGGATGTCTGTCTGTACACAGAAACAAGGAATACCTCACTTGTAACCCAGAAGAGCCATTAAGCATCTTGGTTACTTTTCTCTAGTTGCCGACACCCCAAATGAAGAAAGGGAAGGTTTATTTAGCTCACAGTTTGTGGAGGTTTCAGTCCATAATCAGCTGACTCCAAGGCAGGGAGACATGGCACTGGGACAACACTTCAAGTTAGCAGCCAGCAAAAGCAGCCAGAGCAAAAAGCGGGGAACAAGCCTCTTCTTCTCCCTTATATGTACACAGGCCACCCTCACATCCCAGGGCCAGTGTGGCACTCACAAAATCTCGCCATCATCTTGCTTGGGATAAGGATGTTTACAAAGTAAGGATCCTGGCTCCCTGCTGAGTCTCTTAGTTAAACTTTCAAAGATCTCAGTTTAACACAATGTATCAACCATAATACCTCATAATATCTCAAATTTATGGTGAACAACCATTTCCTGACTTTCTCTGATACTGTACCCTAAGTGCCTGACTGGCTTCTCATGAGCCAAAACCTCCTGTGTGACTGAGTAAATACAGAGTGAAATTACAGCATGAGGAGGATTTTCTTCTGGGTGTTATGAGGAAGTCATTATTCTAATTCCTACAGTCTTGTTATATATTTGAACCCACACTGAGCTACATTCCTAGCCCCTTTTAATGTTTTATTTTGAGACAGGATCTTGCTGAGTCACTAAGTTGCCCAGACTGGGCTTGATGTTTGTAATTCTCCTGCCTCAGCCTGCTGGGATTATAAGCATGCACCACCATGTCTGGTTAACATATTTTATAATTACTATTAGGCTTATTTTTGTGGATGATTTTCCTTTTACATAACTGCTGAATTATAATTTTTCTCATGATTTTCTTTTATCACTCATTTTGGGGGGTGGGCAGGTGGAAATGAAAATAAATTCAAAAAATCAGATAAAAGGGAGAATTCCTAATGACTTCCGGCCTTCCTACAGCTCTAGAAATTTAGGACATTTTGGCATTTCACACTGATGCTGGGGATAAATATTTTCTCCAACTAGAAGAGGAAACCAAGGTTCAAAACAGTTAAGTGTCTAGCTGAGCTTTCAGAGGGAATAAACAGTAGAAATAAAATTTTAAAAGAATGTGCTTTTCTATTATTCCCCACTGTAGCCCCTAAAGTATTTATCATCTAGTCTCAACTCCAAATTTTTCCTGCTCCACTCCTTTGGCTGAGTAGAATTCTAATAATTACTGACCACATGAGTTACATTTCATTAGAAGTAACATGAAAAAATGAGATAGGGTCAGTTGAAATTTAAATATTACTAAGCTGTTAAACTGGTATATGATCTGCTGAAAACAAGATTGGGGATGGAATATTTTCCTGTTTTATTTTTGGCAACAAGAGCAACCTCTATATTTCTGGGACTATGGAAACTGGGATAGGTATGATGGCTTTAGATACACATAATATTCAGTGAAGACTTAGGAAAAGTAAGGCAAAACCTTTGACCTTGGAATTTGTTGTAGGCGTTCTGCAAAAGCTCACTGACCCTGGAACTCCTGGACGTCTCTTACTGTCCCCAGCTGTCCAATGAGATAGTGAAAGCGCTGGCCATTTACTGTGTCGGGCTCACATCGCTCAGCATCGCAGGCTGCCCACAGGTATGTCCGGGAGGCCAGCTCACCCACATCAGATGAGGCCGGCGGGCCCCGGGGCACTGCAGGATTGGTTTCCTGGACCGTGCCTGAGGTGTTCATTAGATTTCTTTCCTATCCCCATACTAAATAGCTTTAGGACTTCATGGGTATTAAAGTAAAATTTTACCAAGGTTAAGAACAATTCTCATACAAATACAAGCATTTGAAGGAGCTTTACTGATTCATTAATGGAAGAATCAACAACACAATAATGTGAAAGCATGGAGCATTGGAATGAACTTGGTATTGATAGGAACTGAAGAAGGAATATGGGCTGTTACAATATGATTGCCAGATCTAAGATTGGTGGATGCAACCGCATCCTCGGGATTCCAGTTCTGTCAGAAATAGTCTCTATCTCCCCTGCACAAATATACACATAACTTCACTGAGTCTGGGCCTTTGAGTACACATAAAAGCCTAAAGGGAAAAGTAAGATCCATTGTCATAACTGTTCTTCTAGAATTTTTTTCTAAATACAAAAAAGTTAAAAATATTTAGTTTTGTCTTTTGTCTTTTTTAAAGACTAGAATAATTCATTCCAGTATAAATTATACCTTAATTTCTTTTCTCTTAACATAATGTGGCCCTATCTCCACATCAAGAAATAGAGATCTTGGGTTATGGCCTAATCTAGCCAGTTGACCATACACATATAATTTTGTTCCTTTGAACCCTACCAAAACTGCATACAAGAAGTGAGGATCTATGCAGACCAGAAAAACAGGAGAGGAAACAAGAACAAACTTTCTCTGAAAGTTTGAAAGTAGTTGGGAAAATTTAGCATCTGGAGATAGCTTTAAATCCTAAGCTAACAGTTGAGAAGTCTAAAAAAATATCTGATCCATGCAACCACCTTTACACTGGGTGACACCTTGCAGTCTCTGGAACTGGATTAGGAGAAGGTTAAAAGAAGGAAGGCAGAGTTAAAGTTATGGAGGCCCATGAGGATCCCCAGATCTCCTCCTCTCTTTTACTCCTCTAGGTTTCTGTCCCTTCCCACTCCAAACAGAAGCCCAGGGATTCAGTTCAAGTGCAAGTTTCTTGGTGTTGTCACTATTGAAATTCTGACAGACACCTCTTGGCTGTATGTCTGGGGCGGTGCCTAGGGACGGGATGCTTAGAGCACCCCTCTCCTGGGTCAGTAGCACCCAACCCCGCCCAGCTCCAGTCCTGGCCACCAAGCATGTCCCCAGACATTGTCAGTGTCCTCTGGTGACCATAATTGCTCCTCAAAAGACCCCCTATCTGAGAGATAGTCAAACAGAGGGTTGCTGGGCTGGAGACACCATGATTAATTGCAGTGTGGCCCAGAAGCCAGACCGGGGATTTAGAGATTGGATGTTAAGTGCAGGCCTCAAGTGCTTCTTACAGCTTAGCAGCCAGAACTTGGCTGCTGGGTCTTTCCCGCAGGCAGGAGATTAGAAAGAGATGTCGCCTGAGATGAAAGCACTGACACTGAGGCCCCCACGAATCCCCGTCCCAGGCCACCCCTCCCTGGAGTTTGTCGTGGAAAAGCCCCCGTTACTAGTCATGGACATATGGTCAAGGATTACCACATTGAGAGCAAAGACCACAACAGACCAACAAAAAATTTTAATTTTGGCAAAATATTCAGAAAGATGAAAACTTTTTAAACTTAAAAAAAATAAAAGCAAACCCTCAAGAACGGCAAGGTGGTTATGAAGCTTGTTCTCTTCTGTGAAGACAGCAACGGCCCAGCACAAGGCTCCCTGCAGCCCGGTCCGCTGCACCCCCGAGCTCTGAGTTGCTTGCCAGTGCAATGAGAGCGGGATGGTGGAGTCTCCTGCGTCCTCCACAGCAGCCGCAGAAAGGAAGAGGAGGCCGTGGGGGAAGGTGTGAGCCAGACAGTTCGCAGCGAAGTTCCTTAGGCACTCATCCTGGTAGAACCGGGGACACCAGCTGTCGCTCTGGTCAGTACCACCTGCTTCTAGAAGTGAGCCGGGTTAACCCTAGGAATCCCCAATGTAAAGCAACAGACAGCTTTACCGTCTGAATTGTTCTGGTTAAATTGTGGGTCGAATGAGTACCCCAATTCAGAAAATATGGGGACCACTGTTTGGCCCAACCAGGATATTCCCCACCCACTTTTCCTGCAGTGGCCCAGCCTGAGTCTTCTTAGGTCTCTCTTAATGAGCTGTAACCTAGACCAGGTTTCCCAAAAGCCCACCCGTGGGTGTCACATGGTTGTCTTACCCACATCTCCAAAGGCCGCCTTTTCCAAGCAGTCACCTCACCTCTGCCGCCACTCAGTGGAACCAGAACCTCACCTCACCCAACACTAGAGCGCTAAGGAAAATAAAAGGCAGCTCCGATCCGGGAGAAGCCTGGCCGCGATGGGCCTAGCTCAGAGGCACACTCCTGGCAGTCCTCTTTGGTCCTCATATGACATTTACTCGAGGTAGGAGTTAATAATTAGGAAAAAAGTATAAGGGTTTGGGGAAGGAGAGAAATTACAGTGAACTCCTGCGCAGTTGCAAACTACGTCTGCACTGCACCCAGGAGGGAGAAAAGGCTGCCTTGAATTTGGAACTGCATTTGTGTCGGGAAGGTGCAGGTGCAGGAAGTGGCCTCCCACTTGAATTTTACAGCCCAGAGGCAATGACTGCTGTGCTAAAGCCTCAGAGGTCCTGCTTCCAGGTGTGTCTTACTTTTCATTGCTGAGGCCAAAATAAATTCCTGACACCCAGAGTTAGAGAGGGAAGGGTTTATTTGGCCCACAATTTGTAGAGGTTTTAGTCCAAAATAGGCTGGCTCCAAGGCAGGCAAGGTGGTCCTGGCAGAGGGGCAACAGTTCATGGCACAGAAGACAGCAAATCAAGCAAATAGGGAGAGACAAGCCTCTTTCTGTTCCTTATACTGTATCCAGTCTACCAGGACTAGGGCCGTGCCAATCCAATCAGTGGGCTGATCCAGCAATCACCCATATTAATCCCAGCATTGGACTATGAATCAATCACACGCTGGATTCAGCCACTTCTAAAAAAACCTCTATGACTGCATGAGGCTTTGAGGGGACATTTAGACACAAACCATGACAAGGTGGGACTGGGATAGAGCCAGTGCCCCCACCCCATCTCAGTGTGCTGCATTCTAGGTATTCTTGAAAACTATAATCCAGGAAACAAAGAGCTGGGTCAGTCCGAGGCCACCTAGGATCATCCTGCAGGTGGGACGGATCTGAGAAGGAGACAGCCAGCTCAACAAAACCGTGCTGCTCTCCCCTAAGGCCCCGGCCCAGGGACACATCAGAGCAGGGCAGGCACACCTTCAGTCTCATACCAATGTGGTGAGATGTTTTACTGCAAAAGTCTATCATCAGCAATATCCCTGAGGCTTGGATGACACTGGTTGATGGCAGTTAACACTTCTGGTCTGTTTTCATCCTCTTTACAGCTGGGAAAAGGATACAGGGAAAGCCCTGGACAAATGGTCCACCATTCAGTGAAGTACCTTAAATCCAGTTCCACAGACTTGCAGGGTGCAGGGAGAAGTGTAAGATATTTATCCATTCTGGGGTTCTCCAGGACAAGCTTGCCCTTTTGAGTCTTAAATCCTTAACACAGTGGGCTAACATATCTGCAAATTCTTAGAGATTTCAAAACTAGCCATCAGGGAAATCAAGTGTAGGTTTCAAAATGATTATACGGAAAGGAAATGACAGTGGGTCATACTTTACCATGTATCATCGAGAGTGAGACTCCGGGCACATGGTATCATCTGACATGTCCCTTACCTACTGCTGTGTGACCAATCACCCTAACATTCAGTGGCTTAAATGTCCCATTTTATTTGCTCACAGTTGTGTGGGCAGCAACCTGGACTGGGCCCAGTGGGGGGGGGTGGTTCTGCTAGTGGCTGTACCCAGGGTCACCCATGTCCTACAGCCTCCTATGGGCTCCCTCTGGAGCAGATGAGTCTGGGGGCCCCAGCTGTGGTGGCTTCCTCTCTTACTGGACAAAGTGACAGTCACATCCTCCAGCGAGCTGGTCAAGCTTCTTTACAGCTCATGAAGGCAGGGAGGAAGAATGGGGGGAAGACAACAATGATGATGTTTAGCATATAGAATATCTTTAAAAATTGCCTGGAACTTAGATTAATTAAGAAATACTCCAGAATATTGAAAGTAGTTATGTCAAGGTGATGAATTATTTGTTTTTCCTTTGTTACTTTTGGTAATATGTCTATATTATTTTTCATTTATGAAATAACTTCATTTAAAATATAAACCTAAACATTTTTCTCCCCCCCAGAGACTGAAAGGGAACTGCATTGGGAATAACACAACCTCAGCCCAATGGGGCTGGGACCACAACCTCTCATCTGGGAGTCAGAAAGGTCCCTAAGTCATCTCCACCCCCAGTTCCCAGCCTTACATTCATTCATCCCCAAACCCCGCCTCCCTAACTGAACAGTTCCGACCTCCGCTCTGTAGGAAACTTGGGCTCCTTTTTCTCTCTCCCTCTGTTAAACGAAACCTCCCCCTCAGAGCGCCACCTGCCCTGGACATTTCCGTCATCTCATTGTCTTTGCTGTCCTCTTCGATGCTGAGAGCCTTGTGCTTTCAATGACATCAGACCCTCAGAGACCCATATAGTGTGGCAGGAATGTCTGGAGGTATTTTTGTGAGAATCAGCTGCAGTGTTGAACCTTGGTTCCGAGCATGTTCTGGAAACTGTGCGTGCTTAGACAGTGACAGCATGTATTTTTCCAAACTTACAAATGTACATTTTCAACCGAAGGGCTTTTCTGCATAGTTCTCTTAACTTTATGTTAAAAGGCAAGGGCCAAGTCTCATGGCATATGTGTTTGAGAATGTTCAACCATAAAATAAATTAAATCCAGTTGGAAAAAAATTCCCGTGGAGAGTAATCCAGTCGATTCTGCGGCAAGTCTCAGCTCAGCTATAAATCCAAGGGCTAGGCCTGAGTAAGGGAATGATCAGAGGCTGGAGCTGAATCACCCCTGCAGGACATCCTGGCTAACTGCCAAGGTGTTGGAGCCATCAGAGCATTCTCAGAGCAGACTTATGTCATCTCTGTGGTCTCTGCTTGTCTTTCTCCTCCAAACGTCTGTCTCGTCTCTTTGTCCCTTTCCAGATCAAGGTCCTTCCACAAACCCTGCACACCATCCATCTGGGATGCCCAGGCCCCCTTGTGGTGATCGGAGCCTGCTTGCACATTAACTTCGGAGGGTGTGTGCTCTGCCTTTCTGTAACTATGTTTGCAGACTGATGAAGCTTGGAGTGAATTTTACATGTAAAGCCAAGTTCCACATCTGTAGCATTTCTTACGTTGTTCACCCTGGCGTGGCAGGTATTGTTAAGGGAGTTTTAATGAAGTTTTGCATCTAAACTGGAGGGCTTGTCAAAGAAAATAACTGCAAAATCACAAATTTATTATTCCCTGAAGGCAAACGGTTTGTAATTCTGACTTTATTTGGAAATAGAGTTGAACGATTAACTTGCCCATCATGTTATGTTATAACCTAGTGAAGGACTCCACAAGGGTCCTGACTCTCTGTTAAGTACTGAGTGTTGTTTGTAGGCTGAACCCTAAATGTGCACATGACAGAGCTGGGAAGTGAGGCTCTGGGAGGTAAACAGGGTTAGAGGGGTTTGTAAGGGTGCAGCCAGCACCACATGGGCTTTTGTCCTGGTAAGTACAGGCATTGTGGTGCGCTGGTGCATGCCTATGATCCCAGCACTTTGGGAAGTGGAGACAAGAGGATCACAAGCTTGAGCCCAGCTTGGGCAACTTAGCAGCTCAGTGACTTAAGAGAGACTGTGTCTCAAAATAAAAGTAAAAAGTAAAACTGTGGCTCAGTGCAAAGGCTCAGTCTACCAAAAACAAAAACAAACAAACAAAAAGCCAAAAAAAAAGGTCCCCCCATCCTGTCATATGAGAATAAGGTGAGAAAGTAGCCCTGCAAACAGGGAGGGCCTCACCAGGTACCAGATGTGCAGGTGTCTCCATCTTGATCTTGATCTTGACCTTCGCAGTCTCCGGAAATGTGAGAAACAAAGGCCTGATGGTCAAGCGACCCGTATCATATCTTACTGGAGCAACCTCCACTGACTGAGACACTAACATCCGGTGGGTGGTTTGTCTGAGTGACCGGTACTTACCAATTGGTTTTTATATTCAGTTTACAGACTCAGCGATAGAGATGTTGTCAGCAAAGTGCCATTATCTGCACATTTTGGACATCTCTGGTTGTGTCCTGCTTACTAACCAGATCCTCAAGGACCTCCGAAGGGGCTGCAAACAACTCCGGGTCCTGAAGATGCAGTACTGCAGGCAGATTTCCATGTGAGTGTGCAGCTGCGGGGGAGCTCTGAGAGCTGTTTCCTGAGGAAACTCGGTGCTGCTTGTAGCAGGCAGTGACTTTAAGCCTTAAGTTTTGTTTTATTTTTGGATCGAATTAATGGGAATTTTCTGGCAGGAATCTACTAAAGTAGATACCACGTGTGACTAGTGAGGTATGTGGTCAAAAAGGCCCACGGTACCTGTCCAGTGAGAGTCAATCCCACCTTTTAATAGTCCTCTTGCAAGGTCTCAAGATCAAAAATATGCAGTGAAAACAGAATAAAGCACAGTAAGACTTTACTGCTTAGCTAAGCAAATCTCAACGCAAAATTTTAATTATAACTAATCTATGGGAAGGCTGAGCTGAGACAGCAAAACGTTTATTTTGCTTTTTACCACACAGTCTGGCTGTCCTAGTTAGCGAGAAGCAGCAGAGGGTTGGCCCTGAGGCTGGCTTGGCCTATGCATCTCTTTGTTTAAGAAGGCCAGAGCATCACCTTTTAGCCTCTGGACGCTGCATCGTGGCTTGGCCCCAGCAGGAGAGAGGCCTAGAAACCTTTGATTCTCTCTTTGTCTGGCAATGGAGGACAGCCCTACTGCAGTGTAGCCTGGAGAGCTCCAGGGTTTGGACCAGTAAGGATCCAGGAACATTTGTGTTTATATCCAACATCTAAGAGAGGATGCTGCTTGTCAGTGGGGGGCTCCCAAGACACGGAGGCCTCTTAGGTTACAGAAGCGGTGAGGCCTGGCTGCCTGCAGCTGTTTGGGGTCAGCTCCAGAGGTTGTGGAGCAGCTTCTTCTTTGCTTAGATCCCAGGGAGAGGGGATTTGAACTGTACAGTATATAGGGAGCTCAAGAGATGATCTCTAAAGCCCCACCTACATTTTAATAAAGCACAATTATTTGCTCTTACCAGAGCCAGGATGGGTCCCTTGACTGCAGACACTGTCATATCTGGCTGAAATGCAACCTTTGATAGCTGTTACAGCAGGGTTTTTTTTCTTGCTTGGGAATTGGTTCAATGTCTTTGAACCATTTCAACATGAAAACATATGATTGCATCTTAAAATCTAATGACACCCTTTACAAGAAAATATTGGGTGTACAAATTCTCTCGTACTCATTGGGACCTGAAAATACTGTGCTCAGCCCATCCTTCCTAAGCCAGAGAGGAGTAAACTTTGGTTTAATGAGCAGATTGGTTATAACTCTTCTGCATAAGCCTTCAGCATAAGATACAGCTGCCATTCTACCAACCCCGGAGTCTGAAAGCCTTTTGGGAAGTGACTTAAGAAGCCTTCCATGGAGGGAGACAAAGCTTCTATTATGGTTTTGATCTAGAGAATCCCCCGAAGCCTCATGTGTCCATGTGCCATGTCCTTTGGAAGGCAACGGGGTCATGGCGATATTATACTCATCAGTGAATGAATCTACTGATGAATCCAAAGCCTAAAGTGCTGTTTGGAGACACATCCTGTCAGAGGCGGCGGCTCCCTGAGAACGCGACCCAGAGTGGGAAACCTCCTTCTGGCTCCTCCCCTCACTCTTTGCTTCTTGGACGCTTTCCTCCGCAGCAGGCCCTTCCACCATGCTGGTTCTGTGTTTGAGCCTGCTGCTGCAGGGCTGAAACTTGTGAGGCTGTGAGCCAAAATAAACCTCCCTTCAGGTCTAGGGTATCTGGTATTGGGTCTCAATGACAGGAAAGCGAGGAAGACTGGCCAGAGTCCTCAGTACAAGAAGGAATTAATAACAACTGTCATCATAAAACAGCACAAGAAAATGTAGCACTCTGTACTTGAAGCAGTTTACAACAGCCAGCCACTCAACAGTGGCCCTTGTCAGGGCAAGCAAGAGAGGCAACAGAGAGGAAGAAAAGATTAGGGCAGAGGGAGAAAGACCCTCACCATGCCTCCCCAAACCAGCAGTGTCTGCACAAGGGAGAAGCTGAACAATGGATTATTACTCTCTAATTAGCAAAAGTAAAGGGACCTTTCAGATACCTTTGTGTTTGGAGCCTAAAACTTTCAACTCTGGAGAGATCAGTAGAGAAAATCTCCATGGCCCTCAGAGCCGAAGATTCCTGAAGGCTTCCCTAGCTGTGGCTGGAGCAGATGCTGCGGCACCCCGCACAGCTGTGCTGTCGGAAATAAAATTTTTCCCAGAGCTTCCCTTCTCCCCAGCTGTGAGAAAGGCTCAAGCCATTGCTGTCTGGAGCTACTGACTGTTATTATTAGTATGAGCAAATAATGATGTTTATTTGCTAACACGTACTATGCTAGATCTATTTTTTTTTAAAAATAGACAATTATATAATCCTCACAAACATCCAATTACCATAAAAATGAGTAAGAAAATTGGTTGAAACAGGTGAAATTATACCCAGGGTCATGCAGGTAAGAAGCAGCACTTTACCCCTCAGGTGCTATCATGGTTGCCTTCGGATTAGCTTCTCCAGCCTGGCCGAGGCCCTGATACTCAAGGGACGGGCGGGAACTCTCAGGGCTGAGGGTGGCCTGCTGCGTGCAGCCAACTCGTGACACAGAATGCAGGCCACGAGCAGTCTTTGCTGGTGGCTCCACGCTCCCCTTTGTGCCTGCTCAAGAAACAAGAAGGAAATGTGAGGGTGACTGACGTCACTACAGGATCACCTTGAACCCCTTTTAATCTGTAAAAACAAAATCACACACAAACTGCAGTACACTTAACCATTTAAAATGACCCTTTAGGACCAGTCGTGATCTATCATGCTGGAAAATCACGCTGACCAGGCTGGAGAGTAACAGACTGACCAGGGATCCAGATGGCATCACTCCCACCTCATCTCAGGGTCTCGGAGTCACTCGGGCCAAGGCAGAGTGGAACACAGTCGCATGAATTCCGAGGAACTTGACACTCCCGTGGCTGCTCCACGCACCTTGTCTTTTCAGGATTTCCTGGTTCCCAAGTGCTGACTGTGGTACCAGAGCACCAAGCCATGAGCAGGGACAGGAGACGGGGAGGGAGAGAAATGAACCGTTTCTGGCCAGAACACTCTGTTCTACAGTTTTAAGTGTCTTGATACTTTTCAAAGTGCATGTGTGCAAATGCAGCTCCGTAGGCTGCTATAATAAACAAAACAGTTCAGAAAACTTGCCAGAAGTCCTGAGACTCAGGAGATTCAGTCCTTGTGAGGACGTCGTTCCCTAGGCAGGTGACAAAGACAATCACTGGCTAAGGATTCTCTGGTGAGGGAAGCGGTGGCACGGAGCCGGGAGGGCAGAGTCCACACTAGCATTCGAATTCCTTTAAAAAGAACCCCAGATTTGCTCCAGCATAGATTTGGAGTTTTAGACTCTCTCCAGGACTGTCCTTGTGGGAAAGCACCCAGCATTCAAACCGCTCCTCTGTATACACGAGGTGCAAGGACGCGTTAGCATCCTGGAGCTGGAGACCAGGAAAGGGTGGCCTGAGACCTGACCCTCTGCTTCCCTCCGGTCTGCGAGCATAGCTCCCAACGGTCAGGAGACCAGGGTGACTGGTTCCACCAAAGCTGCTGGTGGGTGGCATGGAGATGGGTTTTCACCACTAAGATTAGGATAATCGAGTTAAGAAGCGTATGTGCTACTGGATTTTTCGCCATGGCTGGGGCTCAACATGCAGCCTCCCACTGAACTTAATGAGCAGTGTGACTGACTTTTCCTTGTGATTTCTTAAAACTGTCATTATGTGCTAATTTTTTTTAAAAATCACAATTACCCCAAATTTACCCCAGGGTTGTAGCTGGGGGAACTGTATGATCCAACATTTATACATCCCCAAATTTAACAAGAAGAGTTTTCATCTTCACACCAGCTACCTAGGATTCTCAAAAACAGTGGCTTTTCTGAATAATCCTCAGGCTGGGCGTGGTGACACATGTCTGTTTTCAAAGTGCCTGGGAAGCTGAGACAGGAGGATCACTGCGTGGCTGAGGCCAGCTGGGCTACATACTGAGTTTAAAACCTGCGGAAAGTACATAGCGAGATCCTGCCTCAACCCCACCCCTAATGAAAAGATAATGTAATTTGTTGAACTATTGGCAAGTCCTTGATTGCCACAACAAACCTTTTCTTCTCCTAGAGGTCAGGCCCACTGTTGTCTCTAACTGTGGGGAGCCCTCTGTAGTGCAGGGTCAGGAGTGTGGAAAGGTAACTGTGAAGTGCTGAGTGTCAGGAGCTCTGTCATTCAGGAGTCAGGGCTGGACGGCATTGCAGACAGGACCCCGAGGCTGCCTCCCCTAGATTAGCCAACCAGCGGAAGCCATGAGAGCCAGAGGACTTGGGGGAGCTGCTGGAATCAATCTCCTGTTTGGGATGTGACTGTTAGTTTTCAGAGACATGCAAGGAATACACCCTTAAATAACTTACCATCTTTTAAATTCACAGAAAGGCAACAAAGTTTAAAACAATGCCATGGAGCTACGTACTGGAAAGAATTAATTCCATGGTCAACTTCCTCGAAGTGCAGAGAGGCAGGCACTGGGTTTTAGTTTGTATGAACGGCGCTGGCAGGCTCGGAGCTTTGGAGGGAAGGCAGGCAAAGCTCAGAGAGGCGGAGCTGGGCTCCCGCAGCAGAGCCGCATCTCACCCTGCCGACTGGTGCTGCCGGTGTTGGGGGCTGCAGGCCCCCACATTTGGGTTTACATCTTTGTCCTCTTTGGAGGACAACCTCGTGGAAAACCCCTTAAGCAATACGGTAAGCACAGCTTCGCAGAGCTAAAAGGAAGAAGGAAGAAATCCCAGGAGAAGCATGTCGAGTGGGGGGTGGCTCTGAGCTAGAAGTTAGTGCACAACAATTACTCAAATTGTTCCTTAAACTTGTGTAAGTTTTGTGTGAATGCAAACCTACGAGCCAAAAAGCAGTGTGTTAAGAGACAGAGTTGGCAGTGCTTTGGCTTTCTCCCCGCCATTTTGTTACACTTAAACAGCATTTTAAACTAATATGCTTTGCTTTTTCCAATTTCCTTGCCTTACCTGAATTTATGTGACTATTTAGCACAGGCTTAAGTCCAATTGTCCGACAATGCCAGCCCCACATCAGTGGCTCAGTTTTTTGATCAATAATTCAGCACAACATGGAGCAGTAGTGGCAGGAGAGTTGAGGGTTCAGTGTCATAGCTACTCACTTTTGATCCAACGGAAGTGGCCGATTACCTGCCTCCTATTTAGTGTTAGTCTCATGATTCGAAGCGAGGCCCTGGGAAAGCGCTTCTGTCCTGAGAGTGGCTCTTTCCACATCAGATCCATCCTTGTCTCAGTGACAGTACCACTACTCATCCACACATGGACCTCTTGAGTCACACACCTTTTCCTCAGTAAAATGCAGGTTATGACAGAATGGCCCAGACTGGTTAGATTAGGCCTCACTGAAGAAACCGGGGCGCCAGGTGAGGGTTTCTGCCCGCTCACTGAGGCCGGTACCCTCCGCCCCAGCAGGCCACTTGGGCTCTGGGAGCCTGGCCAGCAGCACAGTCACGTGTGTGACCCTCCCTGCGAGGCGAGAGGGCATGGTGGGGAGTCTGACTCATGACAGCAAGTCCTAGAGCCCCACCTTGGGTCCCCACGACGGTGCTGCCAGCTAAGGCCACTCTGCTGTTCCAGGGAGGCGGCGCTCAGGATGTCGGCGGTGGTGCAGCAGCAGGAGCACAGCTCTGACGACCCCCCGCACTGGTTTGGCTACAACTGGGCAGGCAAATCCCTGAAGGAACCGGAGGTCCCCAAGGCAGACAAGGATGAGGACAGTTTCCCAGCAGAGGAAGAGTCTCCGGAGCCCAGTGAGAGTGAAGCAGAGTGACCTGCAGCCTCTGGAGGAGAAGCCAAGCGTCTGGAGCTCAGGGCCTTTCTCCCGGGATGTAAGTATTCTGATCAGCTGAGTCCCACAGACAACTTGAACAAGCGGCGAGTCATCTTCTGGTTCTTATTCCGACTATCCCTGTTCCAAATACATCCGTATTTCTTCTGTCTACACCATCACTGTTCTTGGACTTCGTTCCATCAAACTGATAGTATTGATAAGATTCAACACAGAAAATAACCTGAGAGATGTGACTTTCAGATGAGGAATTTAGAAGTTTCTCTCTGGGCAGGAAAGTAGAGGCAACCTTACAAGTCAGGGTAAAAATTGGAGCCAGGGAGCCGACTTTAGGGATCAGTGAAACTTCCTGATGAAAAGCACAGGTGTAGTTTTCACGGGAAAGGGGCTCGCTTATGATTTCCAGGCATTTACACAAGACAACTGAATGACCCTCAGTGCCAGATTCCTTTCAACACTGAGGGGCCAATGACATAGAAACAGGAGCGGGCTGTGAGAAGGGTCTTGTCCTCCAGGCTGGCGCCTGGAGGACGCTGTAGCCCACACTATGCCCAGAGATGTTCCCTGGCTTTTATGCTAGGTGTGGGCTGTTGGTGGGGTGTCTAGATGGCATTTTAAGCCTTCCTCCAGGGATCTGAACCTTCACTTGGTGTCACATAACACTGATGTTGGCTGAGTCCGAGAGGACACACAGCCTCACCCTGACCCCACACACAAGCGGTCGGACCCGGACGGTCTTCCACATTTCCCGTTTGCTCGGCTACCGCATCTCTCCGTGGAGTCCACTCCCTGCCTTTTCTACACTATGAGTTTGAAATAAAGATACAAGTTTAAGACAAATGACATGAAAGTTACCTTGAAAAGTGTTTGAAGGCTACACAAAGTATTAGAATAAGGTATTCTGTGTTGCCTTAGAAACTTTTTAACAATACCCCCTTTTAGAAAGGCTTTTTAAAATAAGCAGTGCAGAGAGCTTCCTGGGAGCTAAATAGGAAATTAAGACCTGAGCCAAGAAACTTAAGACAACACTAGTGAGAGTTTTAACTAAATTTGGAGATTTCTTTTTTTTTTTTTCATTTTTATCGGTACCAGGGATCGAATTCACGACTGCCTGCTTGCAAGGCAGGTGCTTATGCCGCTGAGCTAAATCCCCAGCCCCAAATTTGGAGATTTCTGTCAGCTGCATAGGTGTTGGCTTCCCAAGGCTGCGCCAAGTATGTAGTGCACACGCGCAGGAGGGACCCATAAAGGACACGTGCTTTCTAACACAGGCACCTGTGCGGGGAGGGCCAGGCTGCGGGCAAGGCGACAGAGGGTGGGCCTATGGTGAAAACCTTTGAAAAACATCCTTTAAACCATAGGAGACCTGGTCACGCGACCTGGGGAGACAAACTCCAGAAGCAAAGAAATGCACAAAGAAGGGGTAGGAATCAGAAAAGAGAGCCATGCGGGGCAGCGTGGGCACAGGTCCGCTGACCGCTTCGGGCGGAGCCGCCCTGTACCTGGGCCGTTCTGGCTGTTGTTGGCTGCTTCCATATTTTCAGTCATGAAAGTGTCTACGTAACTGCAGGAGGGTGAAAATGCAAGGTAGAAACTGCCTTCAGCCTCCCACTTCCCTTAAGAGTTCAACACATACCCCGAGCTGCACCTAATATGCCTGTGATACAGGGGAAGGAAACTCCTGACCTATTAGGTGTCCCATACAATTTCGTGTTCTCTAAAATCAAAGAATGAATTTTAGGAACAACGGAGGTTAAGAGCAGAGTACGTTTACTGAGAGAAAGAAGGCTCCTTGGAGGGACAGAAGGGTGCAACCAGTGTGGGGTCCACGGTGGACATGAGGTGGGACAGAGCTATGGGCACCCAGTAAGATTAACTGCTCAGGTAAAACTGATTAAATTGGGGACAAGTGGGGAAGCGAGTCTCATAGCAGGCAGGCACCCTTAAAGAGCAGTGACTCCTCCCGTAGCAGGTCGGGATGGTGACTCCTGGCTTCCTCAGGGTTATACAGACCTATTTAGAATATCAATTCCTGATTCTTACCCTTATGGTTAAGGTTAGGGTATGCAAGAGCATTTGATTGAGGTCTGGCCCACAGGGGAGGTGGAGTCTGTGTCCCCTACAGTTAGAAGGTGTCTGGTCTTCTGCACTGGCTCCTGAGGGCTCAGCCCTGTCTGACTGCCCAGGATATTTCTGTCTAACTCAGCTGCCTGTGACACAGCATATGTGTATCTTTCAAGCTCGTGCAAATTCTGATTTCCACAAAGCTCTCTTCCTTCTTCCTCCCTCCCTCTCACCTTGTCTGTCTGTCTGTCTCTTTTTTCCAGACAGGGTATTGCTAGGTAGTCCAGGCTTTGAACTCACAATGTGGATGTATCTCAGGCTGGCCTCAAACATTCAGAGACCTTTCTGCCTCAGCTTCCCAACTGCTGCGATTATGGGTTTCACCACCGTGCCCAGATTTTTATTAAATAAGAGGTTAGAAACAGAACTGTAAAAAAGTAGACTATAAACAAAAAAAGCAGCTATTATAAATCACAGTATTTGGAAAGGTTTATTAAAAGTTAGTATTTAAGAGCTGACATATTCTAATCATAAAAATAAATTCAGAAGGTAGGTCTATTCAGTATTGTATCGTTAAAATATTTCAGGAGCTGAAAAACTTTGAAATCCAATGCTTATCGCACACCATTATGAAAGTGAAAAGTCTATCTTTATACACCTGGGAATAAAACAACTGCACGTTTCTTCCCCCTCACAAGATACATCCTAATTACACAAAAGATATTAGCAGTCAGTAGCAGCTGCCCCCTTTTCTCAGTGTTTTAGTCACCATTTCTATTTGTGATGATGCCGGAAGAGGTAGCAGGTAGACAAGGCAAGGACACACAGCCGCCCAGCTCACTGCCCTGCGGGCCCCGCCCTGGTGTCCGGCTTCCCTCAAGGGGAGGGCGGGGTACAGCTGGGAAGACACCCCATCTCCCCACGGCACCTCATCAGGGCAAGACGGGTTTTTCCTGGAGGGGTCTGGCCCGATCAGGTGAGTGTGTCAAAGCACAAATCCCCCCAGCTTTTGAGGAAGGCTCAGTTATCCCTGCTGGCTTGAGACGGAGGGTCACACGGGAAGGGCTCAGCCGGCAAGCCGGGTGTTTCCATCACAAGGTCCTAAGCTGGACCCTGTGATTTTGCTGTGAGTGAACCTGGAAGCAGATTTCTTCCCAGAGCCTCCAGGGAAGCAGGCCAGACCTGACTCCACCCTGTTACCCAGAGCAGAGAACCCCAAACTGCGGGCCCTTAACCTGCACAAGGGTGACCTGCTAAGGGAGTATGTGTTTTCACCACTAAATCTGGGGTACAGGTGTCTCTTTCTTAACCAAGGTTTTGCCTTCCCTGGTATCAGTTACCTGCGGCTGATGAAAGTTCCAGAAATAACCAACTTATGAGTTTCAAACTGTGTGCAGCACAGCACAACCAGGCTTGGGTGCGAGTAGCAGTCATCTTGCTAACCCTCGGAGCACACAGTAGTGACCCTGGATTCAGAGGCGCCAACAGGAACGCTCTGATGTGGCAGGGAGAGAGTTCTCTCTCAGTACAGAAAGAGACAACATCGCTCGCTGGTGTGGCTCTGATCCGTGAGGCGGATGAATGCTGTAACTGTGAAACTGTGAAGGAAAGGCAATGTGCGCTGCTTTTCTCACCACGCTTTAATCTGCAGAAGTGCACAAGTGCTAACCGGAGTGGAAAGACACTTGCGTTTGTTTACAGGGTTCAGCGCCGTCTACGGATCCAGGCACCCGCTGGAGTCTTGGAACATCCCCCAGGAAGGGGGCGCTACTGTAATTTGTTACAGAGCAACAGGAAACGAATAGGAGAGCTAAGTTCGTATTTGCAAAAGCCCGCCTCGCGGTGCGCCTGAATCCATGTCCAGTGTTGGTTTTGGTATTTATGTACCGCTGGCCGGTCCGCGCTTTGGTAGTCGCATTTCCACTAAGCACTGTTACAAAGCACACACAGCATAAACCCTTCTTAGTCCTGCCGTTTCAGGGACTGAAACCAGGTTTGGCTTCTAATGTTTACAGTGCCTTCTGGGGCCGCAGCATGAATCCAGTTTTCCTGTTCCTTTGCTGGATTCATGAATCCTGGAAAACAAAATTGCATGAAGTTAGACCTTAGTGGATAAGAGCGATCCCTGACTGCAGATCTACCAACACTCTCATTTTTGTAAAACTCAGAAAGAGCCTAGAACGCCAAAACCCTCAGTAAAGATGGTTTCAGTTAAGAAAGCGCTGCCAAGAGCATTGTGGACTTGTTTCTCTCCTTTCCTCTTCCCAGGGTTACTCTGTCCCGTGTTGGCATCATTTTTCCACGTAGGTTTCAGAAGAGAGCTTTATTAAAGTACAATGGACAAAATCAAGGACAAGTATTTGAAGCACGGAGTGCAGTCAGTTTTGGCATGTGTAAAAATCTACACAGCCACCTGCGCGGTCAGCACCAAGAGCATATCCGTGATCCCCATGCCTGGCCTGTGGCTCTGCCATCGCTGGGACCTGGGATGGGCCCCAAGATGGGCCCAAAGGCTCAGTTCCCAGCGGGGCACCACGGGAGGAAGCAGGGCCTTTCCTTTAGCGATTATTTTAAATCGGTCCATGTTCACAGTACACCACGCTGGCGTTCCTTGTGTGCGGTACAGGTACAGAGCTCACCTGAGTTCCTTTTCCTCCCCCTTCCTGCGCTCCCTCCCCTGATTCCCTTCCCTTCTGAGGAAGGTTTGTCTCCTTACTTCCTGTCATCCCCCTCCACCCGCTCTTTATTTATACTTTGGGTTCCTCAAATAAGAGAAACTGCAGGACTTAAGCTCTGGTTCTAATTTAGTTCACGTAACATCCCTCAAGTGCATCCCTCTTCCTACAGATGACTCAGCTTTATCTGTGCGGCACAGCCGTACCTCACTGTGTGGAAATACTACATTTTTATGCATTCATAGCAGATAGACACATAGGCTGGCCCTAAGGCTTAGTTGTTATGAATTGTGATGCTATAATAGGAAAACATTTTTTGCCAGCTACCCCTCAGCAGACAACTAACAACAGAATAAATATGAATTCAGAATACAGATCAATAAGTTCAAAATACAAATTCAATGAGACCCATTAAAAATGGGCAAATGAAATGAATAGACACTTCACAGAAGTCAAATAGCCAAAAAATACACGAAAAAAGGTTGGACACTGCTGGTCTTTAGAGAAATGCAAATTAAAACAACACCCAGATTCCATCCCACTCCAGAAAGAATGGCTATCTTCAAGAAATCAACCAATAACAAATACTGGAGAGGCTGTGGGAAAAAAGGAACCTTTTTCACTGTTGCTGGGAATGGATATGAGTGCACCCTCTAAGGAATTCAGTATGGAGAGTCCTCAAAAAACTAAAACCAGAAACACCATCAGCCCAGCCACTCCCCTGTGTGCTCCCGGAGAGGGCTGCAGTAGTACAGAGATCCACGGAGGTCCTGGGGTCTCTGGGGCTGTGCCCTTTCGGGGACAGGGTGGCCCTGGAACTCCTCAGTCTCTTTCCCACTTTGGGCCACTCCCTCCCATGCTGTGCTGCTTGTCCTAAGCCCAAAGCCTACTGGGCCAGTAGATCACGGTCAGAAGCTGTGGGCCGAACAAACCTTGGCTCTTGACGAGCTGAGCCCTTCTGGTGCTGACTGATCCCCTCTCCCCTCCTCAACCCATCCCCATGAGCACTGATCCCCAGTTCATCCTCTGTGGCCTATCACATCTCCTAATGTTTTATATAAGTGAGGTCACACCACATGTAATAAAATCCATCATCTCTCAGCACAGTTATTTTGGTCCCCGCTGTCCCCCCTAGCAGGCAGGTTCCTGACTGGCTTGCTGAGCTGTATCTCCTTAGAACCCTGTGCCGCCCCTCGAGCCCCCTGCCTGGACACTCTCATAAGACAAGCAGGGCCTCAGTTCTTACTGGAGGTAACCGCAGAGTCCCTCACTGGTGGCTCCCTGCGCTCTAGCCAAGTCACAGGAAACTGCTAGCCAGCGCACTGCTGTGATTAGGCATCAGCACGCACCCTGCTGGGCCAGCACACGGATCAAAGGATCTCCTTCTGCAGGCTGCCGTGTTCTCCTTCGTGATACGGGAAGATCCTCTCGCATGAGGGAAAGGTGCTCTGTGCCGCCCTGGGACCCGTGTCCCGCGCTCTTCCCGCACATCCTCTGAACTCTCCTTCTTCCTTCACTCCAACCCCACCCGGTCCTGGGGCTCACGCACCGCTGCCAGGGTCAGCGCCTCCCTCTGCAATCTTCCCATCTGCTTCTCTCGCTGCGCTTTCCATAGGATCTCGACTCTACTCCTCGTTTGCGTTGCTGGACTGGTTAACGCACCCTTACTTTGTTTAGTAAAGCTCGGTGTTGGAAGCTTCCCTTTTCTCCTCCAGCCATCCATCAACCGACCTTGTCAGTTTGCAGGGTGGGGAGCTGAGACGGGTCTCGCTGTGAGTTCAGGCTACCTTTGAGCTCCATGTATTCAGGCTGGCCTCGAACCCATGACAAAGCTCCTGCCTCAGCCTCCCCAGTGCTGGGCTTACAGACCTGTACCACCACACTGGCCTGGGAATCATTTTTATTGAGAGAAGACTAGGGTTAGTGATTATAAAATTAAAATATTTGGCTATGGAATTGTATGTGTTAGGGGTTTCATTTAGGAGATGTATGTTTTTAAAATGATTAAAAACCCAGATACATTGTTATGAATTGAAGCCCAGCTTATGAGCTTTAGCAATTTAGCAAAACTGTGAGTTTTACTTTGTGGGTGGGTGCCAAATACTTTTGCGTTCCTGTAAATCGTAAGCTTTATTCAAGGATGCAGTGAAGCTACATGAAAACAGTTTCAGCCTTTCCTCTCGTGCCTTGTGATAACCTGTCACCGTTCTGGAGTGGTCTTACGTCCCGGGCCATTGGCTGCCACTTCTGAGGGTTTGTCTCCAGGCCAATGAGCGGAATGGCTGCTATTCCTAAATCTGCACCAGCAATGCGCTCTGTCCCTTGTCCTCTTATCTGGAGCTGTCTTGGGCTCTGTGGACTCCATCATCTCTGTCTCCATCTCCTTCATCTCCATCATCTCCTCCTTTTCTAGCTCCATCTCCTCCAGACAGGGTCTGCCAGGAACAGCTCCTTGTCCCTGGACCTCATCCTGGTGGCTCCCTCAAGGCAATAAGCAGGACTCATCTCATTTGATTCTCATCTGTCTGTGACCACCTTCTTTCACCTGACGTCTAGTGGCTTCAAAACTGTTTCATACATCTTATCTGTGTGACAGATGACTCGCTGTCAGTCTTCCGGGTGAGAGGGTAACAATCCCTTTAACTCCATCCTGCCCGAACGGCGGGTGTTCTGCTCTTTCTCCTTCTCATTTCTTTTTTGACCTATTATTTGGAAATAATTAGACTCACAAGCAACTGCACACATAGCACAGAGTGGGCCTGTACACTCCCCGCCCTGATGTAGGACCCGCACGAGGGGAAGAGGCGCGGGGTCCTCAGATTTGAGCCGTGCCATGCCGCCCTCCCTTGCCGCGGAGGTACAGGACGTGCCCTCCCTCTCCCCCTGCCCTCATTAGGAGCGGGGCACCCTCGCCCCAGGTGTGATGCCAGGGCTCCTCTTACTCCATATCCTCCAGGGAGGAAGTCTCCTGAGACTTGGGGGGAAGTCTCAACAAACACCACCCCGGTGCCCAGTGGGAAACAGCAGACCTGCCCAACCCAGCGATGCCTGTAAGGGCCGCGCCCGCTCTGCAGTCACAGGGCCCAGCTGACGGTCTCTGGAGGGCAGCGTCCCCCTCAGGACTCTCCCCCCAGGCCGAGGCCCCTTCCTCTCTCTCTCTTCCTTCTCAGTGGAAGCTTCTGTCTGTAAATTTGTGCTGCTGCTTCCCCTTTCATTTCCATTCTCACCAAAACAAGTTCCTCCGCACATCCAGCATCCACCTGGTCCCCAGGGGTGGCATCCGCGGAACCAGGAGGCTGGTGGCCAAGTTCAGTGCCTCAGACTGCAGACCCCACTTGGCATTCTGCACTTTTGCTGCATGAGCTCGTTTCCTTTGGCAAGCCTTTGTGCCTACTTTCATAATACTTCAGTATCTGTATGGATCATACAACCACTGTCTGTGTGTCATGCCGCTGGGAGCCATGTGGCATCCCTTAAAGCCCCACCCTCTTCTCCTCACTCCTTCACTCTGGCAACCACGCCTTGGATCTCCATTCCTGTAATTTTGTCTTTTTCAAGACTGTTATACAAATAGAACTCTCTTAACATTTGGATATTGGCTTTTTTCACTCTAAATTACCCATAATACTCCAAGGATCTTGTAACAGAAAAATGAGGAAACAAAAATGCCATAAAAGCACAGATGATCTGAAGACAGTTCCTGCCTTGACCCTCTGTGAAAGCATTTTCAAGCAGATGTAAGCCTCGGAGCATCCTTGACTGGCTGAATTTCTCCCTGGGTCCTGAAGCCCATGCACATGCCCGACACGTGTGCTGCAAGGCTGGACAATGCAAAACTTTTGGTGCGTTTTGTTTCTAAGTCATATCCAAAGGCTGTGTTTTTCTGCCATTTGCAGAGAAAATGCTATTCTTGGATTTTAAAAGCAGCGTCCTATAGCCATGGTCCTATTTTAACCTCTTTTCCAACCTATGAATCAGTTTCCATTATAAACCACAATACCGTGACACGTACCACTCTCTGGCCTGAAGATGAGCTGAGAACTCTCTTCTAATTTGGTTTAGTTTGATTCCAAGTGAATCTGTCTTTCATACCACAGGTCCCAGCACAGGGTCCGTCACAAGGACCAGTGGGGTCCTGGGCTGCATGGCAGGTGAGGGGCAGCTGCTGGGAAGGAAGCTGAGCTCGGCCCCTGTCAGGAGGATATAGCGTTGGCCTCACAGGAGCTCAGACCCTGCAGGGGCCTGCACGGCGATCGAGGCTGCCCACTCCTCAAGAGAATCAATGGCCGACCATCTGAGGCAGAGCCGAGGCAGGGACACTAGCTCTGGGGAACATAATTATTATGCATCAGAAACCCACTAATGAGACATCCTAATAAAAAACAGAAACAGAAAAAAATTAATTTTTTCCCTATCCATGGAAAAACTCTTTCTTGAAAACTTTTCTTGGTGTCACTAAGATTGGGGGCCACTGTTATACACATTTTATGCTTCCCATTTGATGAAAATGAAGTGGCCCAACTCTACACTGATAAACGCTAGACCTTGACTTCACGCTTCACCTCTAACTTTCTTCAAACAGCTAATTGTGACATCCTGACACAAAAGGACCTCGTACTGCAGTACTGCATGCATTTCTGGGCTTGGAGAGTGGCTGGACATATCACAATCAGGTTTCATGTCTATGTGATGAGCCAAGCCTAAAACCTGATACAGAGAAGTCACCTTATTTTTTTTTTTTTTTTTGTGGTACTGGGGATCGAACTCATGACCTCACACTTACCAGGCAGGTGCTAATGCCACTGAGCTAAATCCCCAGCCCTGAGAAGTCACCTTATTAAAAAACAAAGTTACCTAGGCTACTCACAACGCATTGAACTCGCCACACGAGAATGGAACGCAAAACTGGTCGACTCCCTAATGCTCAGAGAACGCACCCGGAGAACATACACTGTGGCTTTCACAGGCAAACAGCTCAGCGCGAGAGGATCCAGGCCTGCCTTTGACCTCAGCACGGAGTACAACGCTTGTAACTCACTAAGGATGACACAGCGGAGCTGTTCATCAGTAACGGCAAGAGCAAGGCAAGGTGCAGGACAGGAATGCAAGTAAAATTACAGGGTGACGCGTCGCAATGCCGTGGGGCGCCTGAGCCGGAGGGACCCGTCCGGGGGAGTCACGCTGCAGATGAGGCAGCAGCCAGGCCTGCAGGAGGAGGGAGGACTGCTGTGGGCCGCCTCGCAGGCTCTGTGTGCAAGGCCCGCGTTTCGCTGAGCTCAGCTCTTACGACGACAACTCACTCCCACAGCTGCTCATTATTTCCAAAATTAGGCTTCAGACTGGAAATTTCCACCGCGGGAAAAGCCCAGCAATCTGCTCTTCATTGCTAAATCCCTTACTTCATCCACTTGGTAAATAAGGCCCGTGGACTTTTGGGGAACCCAACAGTTCAGGACTCAAAATGCGAGTTTCTGTCAAACCCGATCACGTCTTCGTGCAGCTCTTTCCCCCGCAGGCCTTCAGTGGATTTGGACACCCGAGACCCCACATCGATCAGCTGTGGCCCTGGTCTGAGGACGCCCTCTGCGGCTCTACGGGAGTCACTTCTGGGACATCCTAGGGCCTCGCACCCTGAGCAGGAAATCAAGTCTGCCTTCTCTCTCAGGGGTTGCAGTGTCACATGTAGAGAGCCCAAGCTGCGCAGCTTGGGAGTGCCCAGTGGGGCGTGCACCGTGCTGTGCCATGCAGACACCTTTGTCACCAGACTCATCCCTCTGGACTGCATGCAGGGCACTGTACGTCTTCCCGGAGCAGCGATGAAGCTGCTCAGAAAGGACAGGGACCATGCTTCATGGTACCTCTGCCCTCCCAGCTCTTAGTAGTGCTTGACTCCATAAATGTTTGTTGGGTGACTAAGAGAAAGAGGGAAGACAGGAGAAGAGGCAGTACACTGGGGAATCTATGTATTAAGTTGGAGGTGGGACAGGTTCGTTGCAGTGCAACAGGCAAGAGCAATAAGGTGATCAGGTCTGCAGGTACAGATCTGGAGGTACAGGCATGGACCGACGGCTGAAGTCACAAGAGCATGGGTTTAAAATTAAATGGAAATCATGAAAATACAACAAAATAGCTTTGATGTATAATTCAGACACGCTTACTGAGGGAAACAATCTGACTGTTATCATCAGCACAGTTCTGCTCAGGTCTGATTACTGTGTAGATCACTGGGTCTGAAAATAATGCACTGGACTGGCTTTCTCTCAAACTCCTGCAGGTCACCACAACATGAATCCCATCACTCTGGACATACTCAGGCGTGCATCAGATGTGCAGGGTGGAACAGCGCCCATCAATTAGGCCCTGATCCAGATCAGTGTCAGCTTTATGGCTGCCGTATGGTTTATTAACCGCCTACAACTTTTTCTCAGTGCCTGTTAACTTTACCGAATGTTAGGTCTCAATGCAAATACTTCGGTCACAGCCATTCCCTTGCCTATTCCCTTCCTCCTCTTTTAACAGCCTCCTTCGACTTTCATGCATTGTTTTGGACTCCACATATTAAGGAGAACACGTGATACTCCTCTTTCTGAGCCTGGTTTATTTCATTTAGCATGAAGATCACTAGTTTCATCATTTTCCTGGAAGTGACAAGTGTCCTTCTTTACGGCTGAGCAATACTCACTGGATGTAAACACACGCACCTCCCGTCACCACCTAGATGAGGCGAGCAGCTAGACCAGCTCCGTATCGTGACTCCTGTGAGTTGGCCCACAACAGACGTGGGAGTGCAGGTCCCTAAGGACGCTGACCTCAGTCCCCGCAGGTATCCACCGAGGAGCGGCAGAGCTGGATCAGAGGTAGTTCTGTTTCTAACTGCTTGCGGGACCTCCGTACTGACCCCCACCCTGGGCTGTCTGGACGTGCGCTGTCCCCGGCGGTGTGGACGGCTTCCTGCCGCCCCACTCCCTGCACATGGCAAGCACTGATTGTTTTTTCTATTCGTGATGACATTTTGTTTCAGTCATCTAACGGACAAAATGAAATCTCCATAGAATTTTGACTTGTATTTTCTTAAAGGATAAAGACACTTGTTTCCTACACTTACTGATCATTTGTGCTTCCTTTGAGAACTGTTTGCTCAGTATTTTGCCTGTTTATTGATTAAGGTATTTGATTTTTTGGTGTCATTTTAGATCTAATCCTTTGTCAGAAGAGTGGCTGGCAAGGATTTTTCTTCAATTCTACTGGCTGCTCACTCTGTTAGTTGTTTCCTTTGCTGTCTAGAAATTATTTTATTTGATGCAGACCCAGTGGATGCTTGTTGTTATTTTCTGTGCAATTGGAGACTCTTCAGCAAGTCTCTGCCTCTGCCAAGGGCTTCAAGTAATTCCCTGTATATTCGTCTAGCACTTTCAAAACTTTCCAGTGTTATACACCAGCTCTTTGATCCATTTTAAGTTGATTTCTGTACAGAGTACAAGGTAGGGAATCTAGTTTCAGTTTTCTAGAGATAGCTTCCCAGCACCATTTGTTAAAGAGGCTGCCTTTCCTCCCATGTAATTTTTGGCTTCTCTGTCAAGAACCAGAGGGCTAGAGTGCTGTGGGTCTCTTTCTGTGTGCTCTATTCTACTCCTTGGTCTATGTGTCTAATTTTGGGCCAGTACTATGCTGTTATGGTTTTGTAGTATATTTGAAATTGCATATTATGATATCGCTAGACTTGTTATTTTGCTTAGGATTGTTTTAGCTATTCTGGAATTTTTGTGTTTTTATAAGAGTTTTAGGATTTTTTTCTAGTTTTGTGAAGAATGTCATTGGAATTTTGATAAGAATTGCATGGAATCTGCAGATTTCTTTTGGTAACATGACCATTTTCACAATATTAAATTCTGCTGATCCCTGAACATGGGTGGTCTTTCCATCTTCTAGTGTCTGCGTGCACTTCTCTCTTCAGTGTTCTGAAACTTCTAGTGTAGAGGTCTTTCATTTCCTTGGTCAGGTCGATCCACAGCTATGTTGTGTGTGTGTGTGTGTGTGAAACTACTGTGAGTGATATTATTTTCCTGATTTTTCAGCTAGTTCAATATTAGTACATAGACAAGCAGTGTTTTTTTAATGTTGATTTTATATCCTACAGCCTGTGATTTCTAACAGATTGCGTTCTTAACTTTCATGACATTCAAACATTTAAAACTGAAACTTGATCTTATGAACTCATCTTACACGCACGCACACACACACACACACACACACACATACACACACACAATGCACACAGTCTTCTTCTAATCAGTATCGCATGGTTAAGCTGGTCACATTTACCCTTATTCTTGATTTAATGTCTTTCTTTCTTTCTTCTTCTTCCTTTTTTTTTTTTTGAGACAGGGTTTCACTATGAAGTTCAGGCTGGCCCTGAACTCTCTTTGTAGTGCAGGCTGGCCTTGAATTTATGGTGATCTTCCTGCCTCAGCCTACAGAGTGCTGGCTGTGCACCACCACACCCAGTTTACATGGTTTAATTTCAGGGTCCTTCTCAATACCATTATGGCAGAATTTAAGGGAAAAATTTACCAAAATGCAGTTTTGTAACTTAAAAGAGTAGACATTTATAAAAAATAGCATGAGGCTATGAATCCAACTGCATGCAGTGAGGAAGGTACAAAAACGACACATTTGTGGGACCAAAACTTGCTGAATGGAAAGAGGATTACAGTGTGTATCTAAAACTAAATTCCTACTTAACCACGCAAAGTCAGCTTTAAATCTTACGTTCCCTGTATTCAGCTGATTTTTAAGGTCAAGAATTAGAAAACTGTTCCCGAAAATGTTTTAAATTATCCAAGGAAAAAAATAATGAGTGTTCCTAAGCAATTTAATGAGGTCTTTTCAGACCAAGTATCAGCATTATGTTTTGATAAGCAAATGGGAAAGATACCGCCAGATACTGGAAAGTGACAATGGAGGAGGAGGAAAGCGCCACACCGCAGCCCGCGACGGCGCACTCCGCTTAGGACGGCAGCTGTCCCTCACGAGGCAGCGTGCGCCTCCTTACCCGTCACCCTGACGCCGGCACACTGCTGCTCCTCAGTCATTTCCTGAATGGGGACGTCAGGGCTCACGTCCACCTCTTTCCCTGAAAGCTGTACACATGCTTGAAGAGAAGGTGGCACCTTGACTGTCACAGAGCCTGGAATCAATTTAAAACACTTTGTTAATGCGTAGAAACCAAAGCACCAGACTCTGTGTCAAATCTAATCACAAAGGGCAGTGCTGTTCCTGCCGCACTGTGCCCTTCCACAAAGGTATTTACAGGGCCTTTCCCTAGTCCCAGCAGGCCGGTTTCCTACCCTGACGGCATCCACAGTGACTTCTGTCACGTAGACGGGGCCACGGGACACTGAACCACCAGCTCTTTTCCGTCTATGTCCTTACCCTCTCCCACACCACACAGCGGAGCAGTTTCCCGCATAGGCAGCATACACATCGGACTTCCTTTAACTCACTATTTACTAAATGCGAGCCACTTACTTACTCTCCATATCAATTTTATGGGGTAGAACTGCAACCCCTTGCCATGAAATCTGAACCCTATCTCTGTGGACAAACCCACGCAAGGTGACACCCATCTGAACGCTGTAGATTCTTTTCAGAATGCATTTATTTATGGCTCATAGTTGTGCTTTTAATCTGCTCAACATAGCTGAAAGTGCCTTAGTTTTATATCTTCTCTGTCCTGCCAAATGAAGCTGAAAGCTTAGGATACAACTGATAAACTCTCATATTTACTCCTTAGAAAATGTGATGACTAAAGCTTTTGATTATCCAGATGGCCCCCATGGCTCAAATGTGAGCACGTGCAGAACAGTTCCCCTAACAACGGATACAAGGGCTTAAGCTAAAAACAAAGCATCCACGGAAAGTTTCAGGATGAATAGAAGATACATATTTACTCACCGAAATGCTTTTAAAGGTATAAAACAAGGATTTAAAAGAAAATTTTTTTGTAGGATTTCATATCCGTATACCAAACATGGTAACTTTATGTATACCTTTTTCTGTTCTTAAATGAACAACATGATCTTAAATCTGTGAGATCTTTAAAAACTTTAAGCCATGCAAACAGTTCTATGCTCGTCCTCTTCCACTTCTTTAAAAACAAAAACCACCACCGCCATACCTGGCTCTGTTTGTGACTGAAGACTTCTCCTGCCCTGAAAGCCTCCCCAATGTCCCATCTTAACCTGTTTTTTTAAGAAAGAAACGCCCTCGTTATGCCATGAACCTACTCTCAACTTCATAAACTTCCATGCAGTTACTGACATCAACGTGGGCCTCTTAAAAACCCAAATACAAAGTAACAGCACCACTTACTGTGGGCCTACTAATCTGAAGGTAATCGACTTTCCCGGGGACAGCGTGGTTGGTGGGAAAGCTGATAGCCTGAGCGGACTCCCGCGCCCCACACAGCTTTTCTGCATGAGTAAAGCCTGACATATACATTTCTACAAGAAAGAAATCAAGTGGCTAAATGGTGAAGGCCTACGAGACTCCAGCCACGGGTGCTCAATCCTGCAGCAATGCAGTGGCAGAACTAGAGTGGATTCCAGACATCTTCATAACCGTTAGCAACAGAACCCTGAATAACTGTCCATTTCCTCAGAAGTCACTGCTCCCGAGCCTAGTGAGAACTCAGACACGGGAGCTAAGGTGGAAAGCTCTGTTTCCCAGTAACGGTAAGCTGCCAGTAACATGGTCCTCATAGGAGAAAACACACGACTGTAATATTTATCAAACTTCGCAACATTGTTTGTTATTTCAATAGTTTCTAGAATAATGTTCTGACTAGTGGGCAAAATATTTTAAATAGATGATGAAAAGTAATAGCCTTCAAAGATACTGAGTTTTTTGTTTTGTTTTACTTATTTGCCCACAACACACAAAAAAATCTTTCATATAAGAGCTACATATGCAAAGCTTTTTTACTCCGTTAGTAATGCTTTTCTCCTTGGGTTTTCATAATAGAATACAATCATTATGACTTATATGGCATTCAGATTCACCCTGACAGTATTATTGAAGCTCCTATTTAATGAGGACGCGACAATCTCCCACCTTAGCACATTCGAGGCAGCAGTCACTTCAGTCTCAGATCTCTGCGTTTGTACTTCTGCTTTCAACACAATGACAGGAGAAGTAACAGCTACTGAGTGAGCTCCGGTGAGAACCTGGTAGTGACAGGAGCTTCCCGGCTCTGTAAGGAAGTGTTTGCCTTTTCTACAGATATCCTTGTTCTGGCCAACATACAAGAGCTTTGAGCTTCTTAAATTTCTATGTTTAGATTTTTAACACAGAGCTGCAGTTCTTAACTTTCTGCACCCAAGCCGCTTCAGCACTCTGGCCAAACTACTCTGCCCGTGTCACACGTTGCCACGCACACGTGTGTGCATATGGCCCACACACGCTCCCAGTTAGCTTCCAGATGAATAAAACAAAGCATACTTTTGTTGTTGTTTTTGGGGGTTACCGCGAATTGAGCCCAGGGCCTTGTGCTGGCCAGGCAGGCACTGCACCACTGAGTTACATCCCCGGCCCAAGCACACTGTTTTTAATGACAGACTTGCATCTCAGAATAGGTTACTGTAGGAGGAATTAAATTATGTAGAGAAACACACCATAAGCCTTGACACTTCGAGAGACAAAGTCAACAATCATGGATCTCCCCGTGGTACTTCGAGATCACACTCTGAAACCAGAGGAGGTCCTCTTAAGGCTGGCACGAAAGCCCAGCAGTGGACCATTTTTCCTCCAAAGAGCATTCTGTTTCAGCCTAAGACTAAACTGAAAGACCCGCACAGTTACATTAAACAATCTACAGTAACAGTCAAAATAACACAAACTTTTTTCTGCAATATGAAGGGAAAGTAATCTTCAGGACCATCTGCCCCAAAAGTTGTAGGAGGCCGATGTAGATTGGCTGGGAGGCCAATCTTTAAATCAGGTTCTAACAGAAGAAAGCATCCTGAAGCCTGTGCGTCAGCTCCAGTAATCTGCCCGTCTATTTCCTCAGGGTTACATACAACCTTCCTCGTACCGTGGTCTAAACACAGTATTCCAGGCAGCTAACCTCTGTGAGATTTCAGCTCCACTTTCCCCAGCTGGCTGACATAGACATCTATGGCACCCTGATGAGTTGAGGCTTTCAGACACCCTGCGGATGAATCTGGGAGGAAGAAAACAACAGAAGTATAATTATTTTTACTTAGGTAAGTAGGATTATAAACTTGAAATAAAAGGTTTGGCTTTGACATTGGAATACAAAGCTAAGAATCTTGCAAGGATTCCTATTCTCCTTGTAACAATGCCATCATTTTCATTAAAATGTTAACTGTCAGAAACGTAGATATCTACATCAAGGTGCCTATAAGAACATCCTTATCTAGGAAGTCTGAAAAACTTATCTTGAAACTAACTTGGAAACCTGGTCAGTAGGAGGATGGTATGCAAGCAATGGGCCTTTGCCAACCAAGACAGCTGGGCATCACCGATATGTTCTGTTTACTGTCAGATGGGTAAGATGCCACCACTTAAGGGCTGCATTTCCCAGGGTGACGGAAAGGTACGAAGCGAAGAACCCTCGGAAGAGTGGAGCCTGTTTTTATCAGTCATTTTTTTCCAAGTTTCTCGAAGGGGATAGATGGGCATCTTTACATCAGGCTGAGGAATAAGGCAGTCTGCTAACTAGGGCAGTCCTGATCTAACACTCGAATTTCCCCCCGTTGTGAAGGGACCCACTTTCCAATCATCTAACACTTTACCCCAAGGGAACGTGGACAGAATCAGTGATCGGCAAGAGGACACCAGGGAGTCAGTGCCAGTGGCTTCTCTTCCTTTCCTCTTCTCCCATGGCAACTGAATCTCCCGTTTAATATTTTATTCTATCCTGAAGTGGCCAGAGTATGTTCTTTTTAGAAAAACCCATGTGCAGGATTTTTGGAGGGCCGTGCACACACTAGGCCATCGCTGCACCACTGAGGCTCAACTCGGCTCTCCAAGTGCATTTTATCAGGGGCCTGTGATGTCACAGGAGAGGCAAAGGAAGCAGTGCGGTGCAAGTCACACAAAGGTGACGGCCTCTACAGAGTGGAGAAATAAGACCTTTGTCTACCTTCAAAGGGCCAACGTTTTTATTTAGAAACATTTAAGGGACTCCAAACAAAGATAGCGACTTTAGAATAAACTGTTCAAAATCTAGCACCAGGGACATGTACAGTGATGTATTTCCTATGTATACCCAAAAGGTCCCAGTGCACATAGTTTTCAGGGCCAAAAGTAAAGCCTGTGTTGGGAAGGAAGCTGCTGGAGATGTGACATAGGTGGGATCTGGACCAAGTCGGTATTCCGCTGCTGAGGTGCCAACAGGAACTACTTTTAGAATCTCTCACGGCACCTGAAAGGAAGCTGGTGAACGAGCACACGATCCAGTGAACAGCAGCAGCAGTGAAGTGGCGTGTAAAGTGTGTATTATCCCAGCTGGGGCAAAGTAAAATATAGGAAACGTTAGTTTGGTTTCTCTTGTTTTCTCAGGGGGAGGGGGAAGGTAATAAGATTTTTATGTGACTCATAAATCCTCTCACCTCCCTCCCTTCTGGGAAATAAACATCAGCTAAATAATTACATCTGAGCCTCAAAGTAATTATATTTTATATTTAATTTATATTTTTGTCAGTCTTGAGCTCTGATAATGGCTGGAGGCTGTTAAAAAATTAAAATTCAAGATATGTTTGGGAAACAGAAACCAGAAGTGATATTTAAAGGCTATGCAGCAAAATGAACCCTAATTTTTCTTATTTTCTGAAATACAAACGATTGGGACCCAAATTAGTTTTTGAAGGTAAAATTAAGGCATCCTGCACAGATTTTCATTTTTTGGAGATTCACAGAGTAGAGAAATTCTATAGATCTTGAAAAACAGCCTTAGGAGAAACATGCAAGTAAAGAGCAGTTTTAGTCCAAACGTTGGCAGGAACGAGAAGATTCCGGGGCAGAATTATCTATAATGACAATTCGGGGCAAAGATCTTGTTCGTCTGACAGAAACTACTGAGTTTTCCAGGAAAATTACATATGCAAAAGGAAAATACTGATGTCAGTCACAGTCACATACAAAAAAACAAAAACAAAAACAAAGAACACCCAGACCTGTGTAATACACATTGTTAACAGAAGAAAAATAACAACGATGCGTGGCTAAAGTTGCAAACTCTGCTATTTTCCTTTAGATGAATATAGAACCCCCCAAATTCAAGCATGTTCAGTTAATTTTTATAATTTTGCCTTGTTTTAAAATACAATGGGCAACACAAAATATATTTTTTGACTTCTGCAACCTAATTAATACATTTTCAAAGGTATGCTACTGGAAGAATAACTGATAGGCTTCATGCATGGTCAGGGGGTCTGCAAGGGCAGACTCTGGGTGTTGAGTGGTGCGCATGTGCAGTGCATCGTAACCGCGCTCGCGGTGCGGAGTGGCGCATGCGCGTAACAGCTGTGTTCTCTCATCCCTTTCCGGCCCCTCGCTCCACCTCTCGGTTCCCTGTCCTTTTCCGAAAGGTCTGTCTCCTTGTTCCTTATTATCTGTCTTTTATTCTCATACAACAGAAGCCATGAAATGGTTAAGCTTGTCTGTGTGATTTATTTCACTCAAAGTTATGGTCTCCCGGGAGTCTATTTTCCTACAAGTGACTCAAATCCATCCCCTATAGCCGAACACTACTCCATTGTATAAAAACGACTGTTTATATAGAAAGGACTGTAGATGCTTAAACCACTGTCATAAGAAGCCAGCAAATTTAGTGTGAGAAGTCCAAGATATAAGGTTTTTTTTTAAATTTGTATTTTCACATGCTATAAGCAATTAGAAAATGAAAGTTTTCAAAGTTCTATTGGCGATGTCAAAAACATAAATAAACTTAACAAATCATGTGCCAGACCTCTACACTGAAAGTTACAAAACAATGTGGAGAGAACTTGCAGAAGACATACATGAATGAGGGTTACACTAATTTCATGAGTGAGCGACTCTTGCTGGGGGTCAGTTCTCTCCAGACTGATCTAGAGATTCAGGGACTCAGTGCAAACCTAAAAATAGTCTCACACAGATTTTTTGGGTAGAAAATCATGGGCCTAAAATGTTTATTAGGCCAATACAACATACAATACAATACGCAATATCCAAATCAATACTAACAAATTCGGAAGACTTTAACCACCTGATTTAGAGACTTCCTATGATAAAGCTGCAGTAATCGAGACTGTGGTTCAAGAAATCGATGAACAGAACAAGGCATCTATAATAAAGGACACTTATACAGTCATTTGATTTTAGAAAAAGACCCCGAGAAAGGAAGTTTCTCCAAAAAATGGTGATGTAAGAACTTGCTATCCATATGGGGAAAAGTAAATCTTGATTTCTGACTTTTTCAAACACAAAAATCAGAAATGGATCAAAGGTAAGAGCAAAAGTTTTAAAGCTGCTGGGAAAAAAAACATGAATAAAGGCAGATGAAAGATTTCATAGGATCTGTAAAAATAAAGGGTAACTTAGGCTCCATCAAAATTAAAACCTTCTCATCAGAATACGCCACTCAGAAAACAAACAGCAGAGGAGAGCTTCAGTAGATGCCTGTATCTCAGCTACTCAGGAGGCTGAGGCAGGAGGGTTACAATGTTAAGGCCAACGTGGGCAACTTAGTGAGACCTTATTTCACAAAGAAAATTAAAATTAAAACAAGCACTAGGCATATAGCTCAGTGGTAAAGTGCCTCAGGGTTCAGTCACCAGAACCGGAGCGACAAGGAGAGAAGGCAGAAAGAATACAGACCAAGGGCAAATATTAACAGACAGTAACTGACAAAGAACTTGCTTGCATTTAGCATCTATAAAGAATTCTTGCAACTCAATAAAAATATAAATAACTCAAAGAGGGATGAAAGATACAAATGAAAACTTCACAAAGAAAGATACACTAATGACTAATAAATAGATGCAAAAGTGCAGGCCGGCCATCATCATACATTAGGGAAACATAAATTAATACCAGACATATACTAATATATACACACATCAGCATGGGTAAATCTTGAAAGACAATAATAAGTGTTGGCAAATGTGCGGAGTGCCTAGAATCCTCACACACTGGTGAGAAGATTGTTAAAAGGGAAACTAGGGCAAGTTCTGTTGATTTATCATTTCATTAAATATACACCTCCTTCTCCAACCCGGCAATTCCATTCCAAATATTTACCCATATATACATATCCAAAACAAAAGATAAAAAGACAAGTATCAGAATGTTTATAGCAGCTTTATATACCATTGCCAAACATTATAAACACCCCAAATGTCCACCAGGACACAAACAAAGCTTTCCAGTGGCCTGCTTTCATTTCTGTAGCCTTCTTTCACATTGCAAAATAACAGGCTTTCCTTTTGAAGTGTGAACGATACACGGGTCCCTTCCTAATGCCCTGCTGGGCCTGGGACAGGGCTCCTACTCTCACCACGTCTACAAGGCCCAGGCTCCTGCCGCTGTCCCAGGAGCCTTCCTGCCACAGCTTGACATGGAGGCCCTTTTCCAGGGCCCAGGCCACACCTGCTGTTGCCCTGTGCGGGATCGTATGCAGAAGCCGACGCCTCTGCCCCATTCTGGCCTCCGTTCAGTGTCCCCTGCCCTGGCCCTTCCCAGCTGTCTACCTGCAGGCCCCAGGCAGCCTCTTCCCCTCTTCTGTGTGCCCTGCACTCATCCAGGTCTGAGTTACCTGCTGAGAGTCACAAGTTACTGTCTTTCTTCCCTGGACTCAGAGAAGGCCAGGCGTCTGAGCACAGCCTCTGCCTTGCTGAACAATGTATTTCCTGGAACCTGAAAGAATTTCTAACAGGCACTAATAAATTACGCTGGCTAATCAGTTGCTTGCATATGCAGGTTTGTCTTCAAATGTTAACAACTTGGGGACACATATGCAGTGCCACTATTAACATTTTTTTTTTCAAAAGCCTTAATGTAGGTATTGGAAAAAACTCAAGGAATCTGTCACATTTCTTAACAGTAGGTCAGCGTATTTTGAGTGGCCATACTCAGTTGATCTACTGTATTCAACTTGCATGTCAGGGTCCTGTCAGCTTCATCAGCTCCACTGTGGACTTAGATAAAGCAGGACCGAGACAGCTGCTGGAGAAGTGGGCATGAACTCTCTGCCTACCCTGTCTTCAAGATTCCTACCTACCTTGTCTTCTAGTAGATTTAGGGGTTCTGTTTTAATATTTAGACCTTTGATCCATTTTGACTTTAGTGCATGGTGATAACACGGGTCTAGTTTAAGTCTTTGGCATGTGAGAAGCCAGTTTTTCCAGCACCATTTAATAAAGACGCTGTCTTTTTCTAGGGAATCTTCAGACTGATTTCCAGAGTGGAGTCTATAGTCTACCAACAGTAAAGAAGGGCTCCTTTCTGCCCACAGCTCTGATACCATCTGCTATTGATTTCTTGATGGTAGCCATTCTTTCTGGAGAAGGAATCTTAGTGTTTTTTTTTTTTTTAATTGGTACCAGGGCTCAAACTCACAGCTACCTGCTTGCAAGGCAGGTGCTTATGCCGCTAAGCTAAATCCCCAGCTCCTCTTAGTGTTGTTTTAATTTGCATTTCTCAAATGACCAATGGCAAATATTTTATCATATATTTGTTTGCCATTTGTATTTCTTCAGCTGAGAAGTCCATATTCATCGCAGATGCCCATTTTTGGATTGAGATCTTTGAATTTTGGGGGCCTGACTTTTTTTTTTTAAGTTTTTTGTATGTTCTAGATAGAAGTCCTTTGTCTGAGGAACAGTTGGCTAAGACTTTTGTCCCAGGTATGGGTTGGCTTTTCACACTGTTTTTTTTTTTACATACAGAACCTTTTTAGTAAGATGAGATCCCAATTGTTGATTCTTTGAAGTAGTGGTGGGAATGTAGACTGGTTAACCTTTGGAAATCAGTGTAGAGAGTCTTCAAAAAGCTAGGATTAGAGCCTCCCATGCATGTGCAGCCTTACGCCTTGGGAGCCCATGGCCAGGATATGCTGGGTCCTCGGGGCACTGCTCAGGGCTGCGCTGCAAGCCACCGCCCTGGAAGACCTCTGGCCACTTCAGGAGCGTGAACTGACCCCACCCGCAGTAGGAGAGGAAGTGGATGATGTGTACGTCATTTGATGGTCAAGGCCTGCCCTGGTCATGTACCGCAGCTGAACCTAATTTTTTTCTCACACTGCAGGATCCGCAGCAGTGAGTTTGGGGTCCTTTGCTCTTGAATGGGGACGGGAACTGCAGGGGCAATGCCTCAGCTGAGAGGGGGTTGGAGCAGGGCACAGCAGGTCCAGGAGAAGCACCGCGTGCACAAGGGCCAGCACTGCGCACACATGGGCCCGCACATCACCGAGGTCTAGGAGGTAAACATCCACGATGTGGATGCCTCCATGAAGGGCTTGCAGGTTAGAGCCTCCCGTCCAGCCAAACACAGTGCAGTGCGGCTCAGGGGTTTCCTTAGCGCTGCGACCAGGACATGAAAGGCCTCTCTGCAGGACCTAATACAGCAGACATCTGCAGGGGAGGAAGACGACAGGGAAGCCTGTGTGTGGTTCAGGGAGCCGGGGATGGCCAGCCAAGCCCTGCTGAAACCAGGCAGGAAACTGGAAACCGGTCCACAGAGATGTGTCCATAAAGAAGAAATGGAGCTGGAACACAGGCTGGCTGTCGCAAGGGAAAGACAATGGCGTCTCCACCTCTTGCCAAATGCGACCAAGCCAGATGTGGTTTCTGGAGAACACAAGGCAAATGAGGATGCTGGCCCATGACAGCTTTTGAGGAGGAAATAGAACAGCTGAAGGAGGCACCAAGAAGCTTCCAGGGGCTGCTGATTCTGGGCCTGCACCTTCTCCGTATGTGGAGCATGCGAGGGGGCCGCCTTCTCATGTTGATGCCCAAGACCTCACCCTTGGCTGCAGGGTCACCGCTGAGCAGTGCGAGGGCCAGGGCCTGGCCACACACCCCACAGCTGAGAGGATCCTGTAGCCGCAGTGCTCAAGCACTGGCCTCCCTTGCACTGTAGGACCCTGAACTGTCCCTGAACTCACGTCCAAAGAAAAATAAGGCTTCGGGGTTCCAGATAATAAAGGGGAAGGCACAGGCCTGCCTGTGCACATGGTTCTTGGCCATGTGATATCAAGGTCCAGTTTACTGGCAGCGGCTGCTGGAGAAAAGGTTTTGATGTTTTTGTTAATTGCATCTAAAATAAATTTGTAGTGGCTTGGCTAGAAAGAGAAGGATGCAGTTTGTGATTACGAAATAAACTATAATTTTTAAGCTGCCCAAGATCTAGTTTAAAAAAATCTGGACTTTATTTTATGTAATTATAAACAGTTTGTTTTTACAGAGGATATGTAGTATTTGTTAAAATCTTCCATTTAAAAAACAGTTTTCTCAAGGTTTTGGTTTTCTGCCTATGAATGAAGAGCTCTAATATAAAACCTCTCAAGGGGTTAAAATAATAATACATTTTAATCAATTGCCAAAGCAGGAAATGATTTTGGACTTTTAAACCAGCATGGTTTGGGAAAACAGTTTTACTTTTAGCTGTATTTGGTTACTTAGATGGGGGTAGAAATTTAAAATCACAAAGGTGAGTGCGAGACGGTTTGGCAGTCTTATGTTTTTAGTAGTGTTTTCTCTTTGCAAAGCCTTCATCAGGGAGGGGAAGTCTGCTCTCAACTGGAAGGTTGTCTGGCCCCTACCTGATTCTGGTTTTGGGTAAACCTTAAGCTGTTTGTTAGCATCAGAACTGTAAAGGGGCGCCGGGGGTCAAAACAGCCTAGACTGGGAAGAACGTTAATGGCTTCCTGAAGTGAGACCTGATGGGGGCGGGGTGAGCTGCAGGTTCTCATGTGCCTCTGCAGTGTGCTGGCACAGCCCAGACTGTAGAACAAGCAGGGTCCTCACTTAGGTACAACAGCAGTTACTGCATCAGTGTGAGGCCCGGCGAGCTGAGCTTCATACACTGTGGCGTTCCCTTCTGCTTTCATTTTAAACAGCTCACTATTTCAGTACCAGACAAGACGGCTGGCTTCCAAATGCAGTCAATAATAAACTAACTGTGTGCAAAAACAAAAACTAGGATTGGAGGTCCCATTCAACCCAGCTATTCCCCTTCTGGGTATTTTCCCAAAAGAATTGAAAACATCACACCACAGTGATATATGTGCACCCATGTTTATAGCAACACAGTTTGTAATAGCTAAATCTTGGAAACAACCCAAATGCCCATCAAATGATGAATGGATAAAAAAGATGTGGTATTTTATACAATGGAGTAGTACTCAACTATAAAGAAAGATAAATTTGAGGCTTTTTTAGATAAATGGATGCACCTAGAAACCCATCTCTCAAGTGAAATAAATCACATTCATGTGTAAACATCATATTATCTCCCTTGTATAGGAAACTGAAAGAGTAAATAAGATTCAAAAGGTACAATAGATATTGTGAAAGGGGAAGAAACTGCTCAAAAGAACAACTGGGATGGGGAAGAAGAGAAAAGAAAGAAGGAAGAAAAAAATATATATATATACAAGAAATCTAAGTGAGTGTACTACTAATTGTATTAGTTCATGGAAAGAAACTGTAAGTGCCTATATTATAATGTGCGAAAGTGTTTCAAAAATGATAATATGCAATATAGTGACCACTGTTAATTTCCTATCATCCTGTTTTTAAATTTTATACAATTTTTTGTTTTCTTTTAATCTCTAACATTTTTTTTTATAATTGAAATAATCTTTAAAACAAAAGAAGTGGGCAAACTTTATCCACTAACATCATACATACCTACTGTGATGTTACCCGTCTTACTTTGTAATATTATATCACCTGCAAAAGAAAGATAATTTTATACATTAGGGATCACGAGAAATAAACTGTTGCACAGAATTCTAAAATGTGGTTGGATACTTATACATTATTTATTAACACTATCACTTTTATTGGGCATTTTTGTCAATGTCACAGACCCAGTCAGAGGTTTAGTGGCAGTTCTGAAGGAACTAGCCTATGGCATCTAAAATGTAAACTCTCTTCCTCCGCTCCCAAGCCCGCAGCTTTTAGGGTGTAATTATAAAGCAAACCAGTGTACATCCCGGCAAATGTGGAAGAAAACTAACGGTACCTCTAAAGCCCATAAAAAATATTTACTACATACACACCGTCAACCTAAACATTAATGTATTTATCAGAACAAAAACAAGTTTTGAGCCAGGTAACATTAAAATAATGAATGGAAAAAAGAATTACTCTTATTTTTCAGACCAGTTGCCCTGTCTGTCTGTTATATTAACATACTTTCTGCTCCAAGAGCCCAAGTAGTTTGGGGTAAAAATAATGAATCCATGAAGGTATAACTAAAAAACAAAAACAAAACCAAACCTTCGTAGCCTTTCAGTGAAAATGTATTTCCAGGCAAAGGAGAAGATTCCGCGACCATTCTTCCAGCCCCTTACAATGATACCCAAGCCGTAGCACCTTCCTTCCTTTCTACGTTGGAATCAGAAACTCACAGTGACTCAAGGACTGATGTGAGCAATACTATTACCCACATGGTTTCAAAACTACATGCAAAAGGATAATGTTGGTTTCAAATTAACTTAGGATAATGTCATTTCGTTATTTAGCAAATACTGACACGTACAAATACCTAGAAGAAAGCAAACAAGGCCCTTGATTGAAAGCGACAGTCAGATGCGCCTGGCTGGAAAACTCTTTCTGAAGGCCTGACATTCAAGCGCACTTTATGTGAGTGTATAAACAAAAGGTACACTTATGTACGGATAAAAACAAGGTTTGTACGTGGAGACCCATAAAGTGATTTTTAAGTCTCAGTAAGTTACAAGGCTGGGAAGATCTTATTAAATGTGTTAAGTAAATATAATTTCATTGGTGTGTTCGGTAGACTTGCCGCCCATTTTCAAATCCAGTAAATACAGATTCCCCAGCACATGTGCACCATAGGCAGAGGGCATGCGGCTCCCAAGGTGGTACCCGGTAATGCTGCCTCCAGGCCTTCAGGCCCTGGCAGTCCCTCCTTCATTCACCTGTGGGCTGGGCCTCAGTGATTTGGTCTTGACAAAGAAAATCAGGACAAAATGATGGGTAGTCACTTCCAAAGTTAGGTTCCAAAACACTCTGGCTCCTGCCCCTCTGGTCCTCTCCAGTGCTTATTGAAGCCAGCTGCCATGCTATTGACTGCGCCATGGAAGAGGCCCCTCTGGCAGGAGGGCCTGGCCGGGAGGCTCAGAAAGGACCCCTGCCAACAGCCCCACGAGTACGCGCCGTAGGCAAGGCAGGCAGGGCAAGCAGATTTGCCCTGGCTGAATGTTCCTGTGAGCCCGCAGGCCTGGCTGCTGCCTGCCGACTGACTGCCTCGCCAGAGATGGGAGGCAGAGGGCCCGGCCGAGCCCAGCCCAGATTCCTGAGCCACTCTCTAAGACACTGTTTGTAACCGCCGTGCTCTGGGGCAATTTGTAGAAGAATAAGTAGCTAGTACAAATGTTGGCACCTGGAATGCAGCACTGTCATAATAATGTGGGATTAGTTTCAGAGCTTGGTAGGAGCAGAGGTTGCAGGGATTTTGAAGAGCACGTTTGAGAAAGCCTATGTTGCCCTGATCAGAGTGAGCAGAAATCTGGAGCTTCAGCAGGCTTCCCATGAGAATTCAAAAGCAGTGAAGAAAATGTTTTTGAAAACTGGAGGGAAAAAAATCCCTGTTAAGCAGAAGCAGAAACTGCAACACTATCCACTTTGGCGATGTGGAAAATGGAAATGTGCCTGGCACACAGAGCAACATGAGAATATTTCCAAGCAAAGTCCAAGTGTGGCAGGTGCTGGCTGTTAGTCTTTCCTTGCTGCCTAAGGTAAAATGCAAGGAGAGAGAGAGAGAGAGAGAGAGAGAGAGAGAGAGAGAGAGAGAGAGACAGACAGACAGACAGACAGACAGAGACAGAGAGAGAATATGACTAAAGCCAAAGGAAGGCCTGCTCACACAGAAAAAGCCTGGCTACAAAGTCATCTGATCTCCCAAGACAGCAACAGACACTGACGCTAAGAATGTTCCCATCAAACTCTGAACCCACGGCCCTGCGGGAACATGGCCTCAAAACGAGGCTGCAGGTGATGACCCTTTTGCCGAGACCCCAGAAAGGCAGCATCTCATAGTATTAACCAGTCACACATAGAGCTCTGTGGAAAGATGAAGGACATGCCTGACAGAGGCCCTCGGCTAAATGTGCCCCAGGAAGCTTGACTTTGCTGTACCTCGCATCTCTGCAGAATCCCACATTTTTGGAGAGTTTTGGGCATGGCTTTTATCTAATGGAATAAACTTGAAATCACAAGAAGCGGACCAAGTTTTGGGGAGCACTCTATCAGCAAACACATGGCCATCGTGGGTAGAGGACACGAGTGTGCAAAATGAAGAGACCACCATCGTAAAGCAAGACGCAGGCACAGGCTCCTCTGCATGCTGTGACACAGCCAGGGGCTCTCACCAAAGCACCAGCACAGTGCTGCGTAGGGCCTGTTACCAGAATCTGAGGGCAAATAAACCTCTGTACTTATAAAATACCCAAGCCCAGGTGTTTTGTTATAGCAACAGAAAACAGACAAACACATGAGACACAGACCATTCAGGAGCCATAGAACAAACAAAGCCTCAAGGGTATGTGCGGGGATGCACACATGAAACATTAATAATTGTAGGCTAACACCCTCAATGAATGGCATGAATCAAGAGCCAGAAATGTTCAGAGGAAAGGTATGAAAATGATTTGGCGTGAACAGGGAGAAAGGAGAGAGAGTATCATCTGAGCTTGGATGTGAAACATGGGCAAGGTTTGCATATGCTGAGAGGAAAAGGTTTTCTAGGAAAAAGAATGACACCAGCCGAGGCAGAAAGGCAGAATTATGTATACTGCTCTGAAGTCACACAGGTCAGGTAGGCTGGGCACTAGGAAGCCTGTGAGGACAGGAGTGACCTTTCTTGCTTAGTTTCACGTCTGGAGAGCTCAGCAAAGTACCCCATATGTGGTAAATGTTATTTTTTGGTAAATGAAAATGTTTTGAAAAGTGGATAAAGAACGGTCTGCGGTAGAACCAGAGGGCGCAGGCCTGCCGACTTCCCGACAGCAAAGGAACCCGGCGAGAGCTCTAGGATGGTGACCACACAGGAAAGTGGGTGACGCGGCTGCTCCCATAGCTCTGATTCTCTTCCCTGCCTCTACCTCTTGCATATCTACAGAAGGAGCAGGCCCCGATTTTTCTAATTTTAACTATTAATAAGGGCCTGTGATGCAATTTTACAGTTGTTTAGCTGATGACTTTAGGCATCTAGTCACATGGAAATAAAGCTTTATTTTCTTATATTGCATTCAATGAATACAGTAAAATTTATAATTTTTTAATGAAAATACGGTCTTTTGCAAAAAGCCAATCTTAGTGTTTATGATGAAAGTGATGAGGTTTCAAGAAAATAATGAGCTATGAAGCAAAAATGTAGGATCGCTAAGAAATGAGAACTAGCTCAGAGGAGCATGGGACCTACGGTTCCAGGCAACGTCTCTCTTCAGTGTTACAGTTCTACGGCAGGAAAAACAGAATGGAACAAAAACTATGCAAACAAGGAATGTTTGTAAATATAGTTATGAAGAATAGCTCAGAAGTTTTTGTCCATACTCAAAACAGTGAACAAAAATAAATTTTCGATTCATACCAAAATTTAGAAAAATCTCCACCCTAAACAGACACATCCTAAAATCATTAGAATGTACAAAATGGACTCTTGTCTCAAATGCTTTGTGGAGATAAAATACTTTAAAATAAACCAATCAGCAAAATGGGCATTATTAGCAAAAATTTCCTGTATTTTGGTTTTGCTTATTGCATCTTTAGTCACTGAAAATAACAAGCAAATCAACTACTGGAGAGAAGCAGACCTTAGTAAAGCTCCTGCCCAGTATGTTTGTAATAAGCGCCGTGCTGACACTACTCTCAAGCTATACAACTCGTCCTTAAATCCCAGTATTGGAGAAAATATATAGTTTTTCTTTTTTTGCAGCGCTTCATTTAGCAGAGTCAGAAGGGAAAAACAAGCAATTAGTTTAAAGATAAAAATATTGGTGTATTTTTCTTCAGTAAAAAAAATTTGGGCAGGAATAAACATGTCTCACAACCCAGAGCAATCAAATATCCTTAAAGCGCAAGTCTTTTTAAAATTTTTCTTAGTGTAGTGGATAGGAGGGAAGGCATTTGCCGCCTGCAAACCAGGAGATAAATACTAAGAGTCAGGAGACCAAACAGGATCCTACTCTGGAGTTAAATTAGGCAAGAAGGGATAGGTCAGTGGAAAGCTCGAGAGAAGGTGGGGGTGCTTCAGCTGGATACCGAAAGAGTACTAGAGGAGGAGACGGTTTTTAAAAGCTGAAAAAAGCATTTCAAGCAGAAAATGAACAGCATTAACACTGTGATCAAAGGCTCTAGCCAAGAGCTGACAGGTATTAAGTAGATTATGAACATGTGTAGGAAGAACAAGAAATTATGTTGTTTGGGAAAACAAGGCGAAGGCTGGAAGGCGGCAGGCAGGCGGGTCGCTGAGGCTGAGCAAGGGGTCTGGGTAAGGCATGCACATCCCGTGTGCATCTCTGATCGGCTACGACAGCAGGCGAGGAGGAGGGATTTGAAGTCAGCATGGGAGGAAAGTCAGTGCTGGAGCTGAGCAAGAGGTGACGGGGGTCTAGAGCCGAAGAGGAGAATCCAGGAGGAAAGAGATGCGGCAGGAAGAGGAAGTATCTGGGTGAGAGATAAAACCTGCCTGAGCTTACCGACTGAGGCGATGCAGGAGGTGAGGGAGAGGAATTCAGGGCGATGCCCAGACCGACAGCACGGGGCTGGGACGCCGTGACAGGAGCCCTGCTGGCGGAATAAAGGACAGCGCAGGTGCATGGGGCTGGGAGCTGGCAATGCTGCTCGCCGTGCCGGGGAAGATGCACATGGCCGAGTTAGAAGTCACGGCTAGAGAGGAAGGTTGGAATCACCCAGGAACACAAGTGCTAAGACTCCACGTGTGTAAGATGCCCGAGGAAAAAGACGTGTGAGGCCTTGGGGTCAATCCGTGGCATGGGAAAATCAGGAGGGACGGAAAGGAGGGAGGGAGGAAGTGGGAGGAGAGGAGAGGAGTGAGAAAAGGCGGACAGAGAGGTGTGTGGGGAAGCAGTTACACAGAGGAGGCACGAGAGCGACTGCGGGCCCGCTAACGTGCGTGTGCTTTCACCTCCCTCAGCACACACTAATCCGCACGGATCTCAGTCTCTGTCCTCAGGAAGCCACCTGAGGACAGCCTGGGTAAGGCTTCCGTCGCCTACACACTGTAGTTTCTAAACCTCTGCCTGGTCCTCTGGGCACTCCCTGCTTCCCAGAGGAGCCCTAGAAGCCACAGGAAGAAGGTGGCACATGACCTTCAGGGAAGGAGCTGAGTGGATGTCGCCAGGGGGCTGAGCTGAGGATAGGCACTGATACAAACCAACACGCAACCTGTCAGTGCCGGCACCCACACAAGGGAGGGTGTCTGGTCCTGAGAGGAACAGACAAGGAGGGATTTCGTGCTGTCTTTTCTTCATGGAAGCCATACACGTACAGTAAGAGTGCTGCTTTTCTGCAGAGTCTAGTCCCCAAATGCCTGCACTGAGCTGAGCCTAAGTACTCTATGAAACATCTGCATTTTGCGCCAAATGTCAGAAGGCCGAGGGCAGCAATCAATGGGCCTGACATTCAAGGACACCGCAACACAGAACGCAGTGATGTGCATGCCTCGGAGTGATGGTGGCATTTCCCGTTGCGATCATCTGTGGACCCAAAAGCAACTGAACACTATTTAACTGTCCCTCCCCTAAAGTGGAGAAACCAGGACCAAGTACCTGCTGTTCCAATAATTAACTTGCAGTTGTGAGTAAACGATTAGGTGCTTCTAAGCCTTGCTGTCCTCCGTTAGTGAAAGGCTGGGCTAACTTAGGCACTTGTGACTGGTCTGCGTCCAGTGGCCACCCAGCTACTGGTGCTAGGGCTCTGCATTCATATACTTACAAATCTATGAGAAAACACTTGCCATTCATATAAAAATGGCTTTTTACATTTATGTTGGATTTTTCCAGCTCTAGCCGGGAAAAAAATAGTTTTAAGACTTGATTAAGAAAAAAAGAGCCAAACTAAATAAATCCTGCACAGGCAGGACTTACAATGAGTATATTCTCCAAGTTGGTTTTCTGCAAGCCAGACATTTAGAAGGAGCAACGTCTTTTCCATAAAACAAGTTTTAAGTTGCCAAGCCAGCCTGTTTAAATATACCCAGCTTGTGTCACCATCAGTGCTGAGAACAGAGAATTCACTGAAATACACGCTCACAGGGCCGGCTTGGGGTCCCTGGAGACAAGCCCTTCCCTACTAACCTGAGGAGCTGCACACGGGGCTTCCTTTCACCTCTAGTGTCCAACGTCACCTCTGATGTGGAGCCGAAACCTTGCCTGCTCTTTTGCACCACCCGAGGCCCCAATTCCAGGCTTCACTAGTAGCACTTTCGCATCCTCCCTTAGGGCAAGAGCACAGAGCTGACCAGCAGGAAGTTCTTCCACAGCGCAGCTGTCCCATTGTCCTGCCTCACGCCTGCTCGTGTTGTGCCTGCATCAGAAACAGCGCTGGGAGAGATGGCTGCACGTGGGCTGCACTGAGGCAGGGCCAGCGACAGCCAAGGAGAGGAGCTGGGGGCAGTGGTGACCGAGGACGTAAGCAAGGGAGGCCAGGCAACCCTTTGGCCAGACTGTGCTCTGCAAGCACAGGTGTCATTGCCTGCTCAACTCTGCAAATCCAGCACGGTGTGTGGCCCACAGTGCGTCACTAAAAGAATGATAAATGTGACAGCACCAAGCCAAGAGCCGCCCTTCAGACCCCTTTGTCCCTGCAGGTTCTTTCCTTAGTGCTGGCTGGGACACGGCTGGCAGTGGCCCATTGTCTCCTAGGGTTGAAGAGCCATCTTGGCCCCAGATCATACTTCCTCCTGGGGGCTGTGGGCAAGTAAGGGGCTGGGGAGCTAAAATCCCAGCCTCCTCACCCCAAGCTGGTGAATCTGAGGGTCCTTTCTGCTCTGGACCTCCTTCTCGGGCTGGCTCCCCCCTTCACGGGGATGGCAGGGGTCCCAAGAGGTCTCCTTCCACAGAGTGCACTCTGTTGCCTGCCTCAGACCCGGGGCTCTCAGGGAAGCTCAACTGAGACAAGGCCAGAGGAGGACCTGCATTCACACACGCAGGGAAAGGTACTTGACTGCATTAAAGGTCAGCGAATATTAAAAGGCTCTACATAAACTGCTGAATAAATTCTTCCTTTTTTTTTTTTTTTTTTTGTCTTTTTCCTTTTTATCGGTACTGGGGATCAAACTCACGACCGCCTGCTTGCAAGGCAGGGCCTTATGCCACTGAGCTAAATCTCCAGCCCCTGAATAAATTCTTGATCCTAGCAATGTTTCTGTTTTAGCTGTGTTAAGGAGAACCTTGAGGAATATCTGTTTTATCATGTACCAAATTAGCGATAAGCTACCCCAAATCACTTCGGATCTGTCTTAAAAGAAAAGCTAAGACAGCAGATGTGCATGCAGTCAGTGTAAACACGGCACAGAGCAGTGCCCAGAACAGCGCAGCTTTTCCTCTGGGTGTCATGGATGTGTGATCCGAATAAGCATTGCTTTTCCTCTGAACGCCCCTCCATGGGTGAGGTATGGGACTTTTAATCACAGCTAATACAAAAAGTTAACATACAGCTAATTTTAAAAATATGAGTTATAAATTACCCAGCCCACTTCATATACCACTGAATACAAAGTGAGTAAGATCTAATTTCCTGGTTACAACTCCACTTGGACTCAAGCTGTTTTGGGCATAAATAACTCATCTTGCATGAACAGTTGTTAAGCATTAAATTGAGCCTGAAGAGTTATTCCAGATATATACGTACTCTTTGTTATACTTTTTTTTTTTAAGTAGAAAGTTCCTTGTCAACTTGCTGTAACAGCACAGTAAACATGCTAACCGCTCATGGAGGTTTAGGGCTAGAAAGTCCCCCACGCCAGCCATGTAAGGCTCTGGAAGGTGGTTGGATTGTGGGGTACCGGCCTCCCCAGTGGACCAATGCATCCATCTCCTGCCGAGTTCAGAGCTAACCTGCCGTTAGGAGGTGGGGCGTGGTTGGAGTGGGTCCCTGGACAGACCTGTGGGCGCAGCTCCCTGCCTGGCTCTGCCCTCTGCATGGGGCTTCTCAGCAGCTACACAGGAGCAGGCGCAAGTGGCTGTCATCTGACCAGGCCCTCCTCCCACCTCACCCTTTTGGCTCTGGAGCCAGCCCACCATTCAGCAAACCCCATGAGCCAAAATCAGTCCCTCTTCCTCTAAACTGTGCATGCTGGGTATTTTTGTCCCAGTGATCAGAAAGTAACTAAGCCACCGTGCTTTCTAACATCTCCCAACAATGTGTGCCCACTGCTTACATCTGGGGGTTGCTCAAGTATATTGATAAGCTTTACTACAGAAGTGAAATGAGTGGGCCACAGATGGAAAGGTCAAGTCTGTCCTTCCTGGAATATAGACAGGAGGTGTTTGGCAGAAAGGCATTGACTACAATTCTTCCCAGGATAAGTGATTCTTAATTCTGTGTGAATATATTTAGAAAACACAGCTCCATCTGCATCATCTGCTCCAGTGAAGTTTGTTTGTTTATTTGTTTGTTTGTTTGAGACAGGGTCTTGCTATATATTTTAGGCTGGTTTAGAACTCACTATGCGACTCAAAGTGGCTTTGAATTCCCAGCGATCCTCCTAGATCCTCCTGCCTCAGCCTCCTGAGTACTGGGATTACAGGCCTGCGCCACCACGCCCGGCTGCTCTGTGGAAATGTAAGCAGCAGGCTGAGTGACCCTGAACACAGCAAATCCTCACTACAACAGTGCATAATATTGCTTGTCTGCAGACATGTGTCTTGGAAATCACAAGAGGATGCTTCCTCAAAAAAAAAAAAAAAGAAAGAAAAAAGAAAACAAAACTGAAAATGGCGGCTGCTAAGAGGACCTGTTGCCAGTAAAAATGCATTTAAACCAAAATTAGTATCACTGAGTTGATATAATCAGGTTCCACGGAAATGCCTCGTCAATTCAACCTTTAACTTTCCTCTGGTAACCCCAAGAGCACCTACCCAACACCCACCTGTGACACTGCTTTTATTCCCTCTGCCATGTAGATTTCCTCACTCTTCCCTTCCGGTAAGGACACTCATTCAAAAATCAGAATGACTATTAGCTTCATATACCACAGCATAAACTTTCTTTTCAAAATAAAATAAATTAGTTGATGAGTCATTTTATTTTCATATTTTAGCCATTTACATGACTAGTCTGCAATTAATTATTTAGAAGGCCAGTTCCTGACCCTTCAACTATAGGCATCTCTTAAAATGTATGCTACGTGGAAAGTCTGAGGGTATTAGGTCTGTTTGTTTTTTTGTTTTTACTTACCATGAACACTTCCTAAAGTAATATCCCCAGCCATGGAAGACAGGGATGACGATTCTGTGTAAAGATACTTGGCTTTCAGCAACCCATCTTCAGTAGATATGTTAACACAGCTTCCCTGCAGTTTGTCTATGGTGACAGACTGCTAACAGAAAGACTCTAATCAGTTCATTATAAAGTAATGGCCAGAAAAAAGCTAAAAAGATAACTATGGAATTAGCGGCAATTATGTAACCTATTACCTACTATATAATCTCTGTGTGGGTTCTGGTGACCCAGATCTAACTACAGGGTCCCGAGCAACATGCAAACATGAATTCTCTACAGATTGTGAAGCCGACCCAATATATATCTCCCATTTCTTTGGGTCTTCTGTAGTTTCTCTTAATAGCATTTTATATTTTCTATTTAGAATTCTTTATCTTTTGCTAGATTTATTCTGACTTGATGTTTTTTAAAGTGCTAAAAAGTAACTTTTAAAATTTCATTTTTACCTTCATTAACTTATCCATGGCCTCCGGTTCCAGGCTGAATAGCGGCTAAAGATGGAACCGCAGTCCTTCTTATCTCGCCCTGGTTCTCCCAGGGAAAGCGACGTACTGTAATAGTTAGCATGGTGTTTGCTGTAGAACTGCCCGCGTGCTTTCCCTATATGTTAATAGACTGTATTTCTAGGATGCTTCCTCTTTACATTTAGCAAGGCACTGCCTCTCTGGGGAACACATTAGAAGGAATTTTATATTTATCTTTAAATTTCCCTAAGAAAATTCAGTATGCATTTATGTCTCAAGTATTGCTCACATTGTAAAATGTAGTTAAGGATTCAAAATCATCATCACTACAAATTTAAGTGTTAATATAAAATCGTTGACAGAAAAGTGGAATTGCCAGGAAGGCTTACCAGTTTTGCCCCAGAGACAACTTTAAGCAGTATGCTGAGGTGTTTAGAGACAAAGCATCACTGTTAACATGCTGGTATCAGTTCTCATCACTCATAACGGACTTCAAACATCACAAGCTCAGGGCCAGGGATTCAGCTCAGTGGCACAAGCGCCCGCCTGGCAAGTGTACAGGCGTGAGTTTGATCCCAGGATCAAAAAAAAAAAAAAGAAGAGTTCAAAATGTTGTCTAACAAAATTTGGGTTTCAAGAATACTAAAATAATCCCAGCACTCGGGAGGCTGAGGTGGGAGGATCGTTGCAAGTTCGAGACCAGCCTGGGCTACAAAGTGAGCTCAAGGCCAGCTTGAACTGCATAGTGAGACCCTGTCTCAAAAAAGACAAAAAAAAAAAGAATACTAAAATATTAGAGGACAAATAAAAGTACACACAAAAGTAAGAAAAGTGCCCAGAGGGCTGTGCGGGAAATAACTGATCATTTCTTTCCCTTCTGGATTGACACTACAATGGCTTTCTTTTTTTTAATGAACAAGCACGAATATTTTATGTACACACACTTGCTTCTTAACTACTACAGTTTCTTTTAAGCTAGTTATGGATGGACAGGAATATTTACTTTAAATCTACTTTCAATAAATCTGTCAAAGAAAGAAGAAATTTTACCTACAACCAGAATTGTGAGAATGTTTTTCTCTTTCTTCAGCTCTACAGTAAAGGTATAAAATCCCTAAAACAATAACTTTAGCTACAGCTTCTTCATGAAAAGTTGACTTTTGTGGTTTGAGTTCTTCCACAATACATGCAACAAACTGAGCACACCCTGGCTCTTTATACACAGTGAGACTTTTTTAGGGGTCACTAAAAGATAAATTGTGAACGAATATTTGAAACCACTGAACTGGCAATGGGGAACTTCTGATTAGACTCCCCACTAACAAGGCCTTCAAAATGCTCCGAGTATCTGGAAAATGCCAAGGATTTACACAACTCATTAAACATTAAATACTGTGTTCTCCAGGAAGCTAGAAAAATATCCTGCCACCAAAGCAGATGAAACAACAATCACACAACACCATGGAGTTACTTTACCCAGTCATTCCATAACATTTAAAAGAAATCTGAAATTCACTGAGGTCACTTATAAAAAAACTGGATCGATACTAACTAGGGTAATTAAACTTAGGATGGCACAGTTTAAGCAAAATCCTGAGGCTCTGATTCACAGTCCTTAATGGAAAAGAGTCTCATAGACAGACTTTATCCGACGATGGCACAAAGCAGAGATCCAAAACTTTCCTGACAGAACTAGTACGATGCATTTTCTTTTCTACATAAGCAGAAAAAATTTCTAAGTTTACTATAAACATGTAAAATATAGTTACTAAAAAACTCAAATGTTTTAAGGAAATAGTGGCTTCTCCGGCCCACAGTGAGAAAGGAAAACAGAACTACACCCTCAGTTCACCTGATTAGTTAGATGAAGTGGATTTCTGAAAGGACAAAAGAAAGAAAGAGAAATGCATCTCTATATTCTCTGTTAAACCGTAAACTAAGTCTAGGATACTGGATCAGGGCACAATTGAAAAGCAGCCAGTACCGACGATGCTCCGGCTCCTAGCGCTCCCTACTCTTCACAGCCGTGTTGAGTAAGCACAGCAGACCCCGCCGTCTGTTCCCTGACTGCCTCTCGGCTCTTTCCTGCAGTTTCCTCGCTCTCCTTCATCATCATTACGGTAAGCACCGCATGAGCTGGATAAAAACGTACAGTGACTATCTAAAAATTTTAAAACCAGTACAGTAAGAGACAGACTGCCTGAACTGCTCTCCCTCAAAACTCATTTCCGACACCCCTCGCCCGCTGTCCTTGCCGCTTTCCGCAGCAGCTCGGGCATCGTCCTTCGCGAGTGTCTTTAGTCGCGCTGTCCTGGCTGCCTCAGTGTCCTGATAGGCTCAAAGCGTTTGCCTTCTGTGGTCATTTTAATTCAGCGGAAGAGCAGGCGTCACACAGTGCTAGATCCTGGGAAGAATTAGGTGGGCGAGGACGCGCTGTGACGTCTTTCTGGGACTGCCTTTCTGGGACGGCCCTCAGCAGCTGCACTGGTAAAGACACCCACAGAGCTTGGGGGGAGGGTATTTTGCAGGGCGTATTAGCAATGTGTCTTTTACCATAATACGATTTTTAAGATTTGGTCACACTTTAGGGGCTGGGGATTTAGCTCAGCGGCATAAGCACCTGCCTTGCAAGCAGGCGGTCGTGAGTTCGATCCCTGGTACCGATAAAAATGAAAAAGACAAAAAAAAAAAAAAAAAAAAAAAAAAAAGATTTGGTCACACTTCGTATTAGACATTGCCAGACACTGAAGTGCTCTCCCTGCACCGAGTTATTTAATGTTCACGACAGCGCTCTAGTTAGGCCCATTACTCTAACCCTGTACTTCAGAAAGTGGGGACACACAAAGGTGAAGTGAGGCGCCAGAAGATGAGGGCAGGGAAGCCAATGGCACTCACACAGGTCCTGGGTCCCCACTGTGTGCTCTTAACCAGTCCACTATGGGCCTCTCAGCTGCCCAGACATATTTCCATGGATGACATAGGTTAAAAGTTCATAGATTTCATTTTACATACAATAAAAATACAAAAAAACTAGACTGCCTTGAGCACATCACAAAATTCAGTCTGGCAAGGAACAAATGATACAATAGGAAGCAGAACATAAATATGCAGTAAGCCATGGAAGTCAGGACAGATAACTAATGAGGGGCTAAATTACTCTAAATGGAAAATAACCAAGAGATGATTTACATTTTGATGCTTGTGCGGGGGATTTAGCTCAGTGGCACAAGCACCTGCCTGGCAAGCGCAAAGTCATGAGTTTAATCCCTGGTACCAAAACAAAACAAAACAAAACCACTCTGATGCTTGCATGTGAGCATAAATCTGTAATGCCGTATTCTGGTAACTTAGGATCATTTCAAGTAACATCAGCCATCAACTAACACACAGAGCTTGAAGGAGCCACCAACTCGTCCCTTCCCCTCGTATACCTCAAAGTGCCCAGCGCTCTGACCAATGAAGCACAAGGCCACCTCAAGGAGCTGTCACCCATGGCCAGGCCACCTTTGCATATCTTCCTAGGTTAGCTTAGAGGCTGCTTAAACATTGGGACTGAAATGAAACAGCTCCCAAGTTCTGAGAGAAAGAAGATGGAAAATAAAATGACCACAGTAGAAACAATGCTATAAAGTGTCTTATTTAATCATGCCAGCAATACCTAAGCATGAGACATGATTAATCTCTAAGGTGAGCATGAAATTTAGCAACTTTATAACCAAAGTGCCTTGGTAAAAACAAAAGATTTAGGTTCGTCTTAAACATTTAAAACACTACAGATCACGTTCAAAAAAGAACTATGATGATTTATATTTCTAAAATTATACTTTTAATATGATGCTAAATCATAGGAAGCAAAAACTGACATAAAAATACAAACTTTGCTCCCATAACTACCAAATTCCCTATAATTACAAAAAAAGCTTTTGGGGAGCAGTAAAGCTGTCAACAGGTGCCACCTTGTGGACAACACTACAGAAAACACGGGCCAAAACTTAAGTGTTTAAAGGTGCAGTAAACAGGTCTTGGAAAATACCGCACTCAAGTTAACCTATCACAAAGGAAAAAACAATCTTGATACTGGGGATATTTCTTCATGAGATATTTAAAACTATGATCAAAATAAAAATTCCTTTAGAATTCAAATTAAATATTTAGATTTTTTTAACTAATTCTAAATAAGGATCTAAGTAACTGTCAAAATCATAAACTGCATAACATTTAACCACCTCAACTCCAAATTTGAATTTACTAATGACCCAAAATGCATTGAAAAAAATATTACACCACCAACTTTAGAGAAGCCTTCCCCTTTTTGGCTAAAATTTCAATTACTAAGAAAGCTTCAGTCTTACACTTTTACTTGATGTGTGAATATTTATGTTTCCGTATACTGTCCCCATGCAGGTCACGCTGCCTCCTTTCGTCTGAATGTGCAATTTTTGACTCTGAAAAAAAACAAAAACAAAAAATATATGTTGAGAAAAAGCATGTTTGATTTGTACTAATGAAGCACTTTCCATATTTCTTTTTTAGTAATACAAATTATTAGCAAAAGAAGAGTCAGAAATGAAATAAAAATTCACTGTTTGGAATCGTAACATCAACTAGAGAGAACTATCCACTGCTGTTAAAGGGGTAAAATAACCTGCACCCAAAGGGGAAAACGCGATATCTGAATATTCCTGGAGCTTCGTGGCATGGCGAACAGCTTCGTGTCCATGAGAAACATGAGCCGAAGTCAGGTTATCTTTAAAATACTCTTTACCGTGGAAGTGCTCAAGTCAAAGGCCACCGTGGGCAGCTATGGAAAGGCTATGGAAAGGCCAACGCTACTGAGGACAACACTGACCACTATTAGCAGTGACAATGGCTCTCACTCGGCAGTTTCTTACACCAGAGATGACGTCATCTACTTCGCAGCAAATACATCATTTGATCCTCACCACAGCCCAAAGAGGTGGGTGTATTTTTCCTGTTTGACACAGGAAGAAAGCTAAGACTCAGAAATGTTAAATTATCAGGGTAGCACGGTTAGGAAGCAACAAGATCTAAACCAACAAGGAGAATCCAGCCCTGTGAGCCTCCAAAGCCTACACTGTGCATTCTGAGGTTCTCTGGAAGGGGGCCAGGGCCTTCACACTGAGCTACAACCCCATCCTGGTTTTTACTTTTAATTTTGAGATAGTGTTTCCCTAAATCACTCAGCCACCCCACCTAGCCTCAAACTTGGTGTCCTCCTGCTTCAGCCTCCCAGAGTGCTAAGATAACAGGTATGCATCACAGTGCCTGCCTCACAGCCCACACTCAGCTCTGAGATGTGAAACGGGACAGATGTCCACTAGGCACCAGCACAGCTACCCCTTCCAGCACAGCACACCCAGAAGATAAAACTGAGGGTGCCCCAAACACCACACTGCAGTCACATGCCAGGCAGCCCCCTGACGACCAAAAGCTGTATGTGTGGATTCACACTCGCGGGCGTGGCAGACCCCATATCAGGGCCCCAAACTCCTTTCCCCACAGTGGACACATGCAATGGCCTCCATGAGCAGGCGCTGGGGCTCTGGGAATGGGGCGCCTCCTCCGGCCCACCGCTGGCAGGGCTGAGGTGCAGAGAACGGGAGGACCAGGGAGGATGGCCACCTTCACATGTCATCCCGTGCGCCCCCGGACACACACAGGGCACTGTGGCTGCACAGGAGCCATGTGGCATCTGGCCTGAGTCGCTCCTGCATGGCTCTGTTGCAAGACCGGGACAGGAAGATGCAGGACGCCGGTCCAGTGCCCGCCTGCAGGAGACCAGCCTGACCCTGGGAGACTACATCAGCGGGCCGCGTTGCTTCTGGTGCTTCCCTGATGGAGGGAAATGGTAGAACTTCCCGCAAAATAGCCCAGGAATCGATTTCAAAGTAAGTCTGTGAGAGGAGCAAAATGAACCACTCCTTTAAAAACCTGTTCCTCAAAGGATTTCGTTGTGGCATGGCGAACAGCTTCCATGAGAAACATGAGCCGAAGTCGGGTTATATTTAAAACACTCTTTACCGGGCAATCATTCACTTTTGAAAAATCTATTTCCAAATGACTCTTTTTTTTTTTGTACCAGGAATCAAACTCCTGACATCGTGCTTGCCAGGCAGGTGCTGCTCCACTGAATTATATCCCCAGCCTCAAATCCATTATTCCTAACTGATCTTTACCCAAATTGCTAGAGTCTATTGTACGGGATATTGCAACCAAACACATGTACTTTTCCTAAGGAGACAACTGTTACATTATCCAGGCTGGAAAATACTGAGCTGTTATTTAAAGTTCAACTAATTCCCAATAGATGTGAAAATTTAAAACATAAGTAAGACCAAAGACACACATGAATGTTTAAATAAATTATAACTCATTTAGAAAATTGTACTGCATTTTAAAAAATGCAAATACGAGGCAGTCATGAGCTAGTGGTCTACAGCCTCAATGTGTACTGATCTTGTCCCCTAAGGATGCTGAATTAATACGGTGTCACCATTCTGCTTAGGCCAGAAAGACCCAAGGTCAAATTTTGGCTTAATTTTTTAGCTGTGAACTGAAGTGAGTTCCTCAGTCTCCTGCTGCCACCTAGTTGCTGATGAAACGAAGAAGCTTTCAGAATTAGAGCTGTGATTCCAGGCACACAACAAGGAGTTAATTAACAACAACTGCTATAAAATGTTATTAGATAGATTAATTCCACAGAGCGTAAAGGCTTAAAATTCAGGAAGGAGGAGCTACTTAGCAGGTAGCTACCAATGCAAGATAATGATACTATAGCGTATTTAAAATTAAAACCAGGTGTTTTACCAAAGTATTCTGATTTGTTAATTTAAGCCAACCAAATCCCAAGATCTCAAGAATAATCCTCATACTCTAAGTACAACATTAGAACCCATGGACTCAGTTTAGTTCTTGAATTTCTTTTTTGAGCTATTTTATTTTTTAAGACTGATACTTAATAAATCCTAAAGAACATGTAGAAAATACACTTACTTTTAAAAAACAAATTTAAACTCACTCTATCTTGAAATCACTGTGGCAGTACACTGAAGTCTTTTAAAAATTTAAAATGCATTATGGGATAATAGTATTCTTATTTTTCATATATCTTACAACATTTTGCTATTTCATTCTCCTAGGAGTTATTGCATATTCATCAATTATTCTCAGTTATGCTAAAAACATAAATGATGAGCTTGCCTAAAACAGGTGATTGTGTCCTCTGAGGACATTAGGTGATTCTGGGGACAGTATATTTTTTGTCTTGATTTTCTTCTCTTATTGCTGAGACAAAACACCAGATGTACAGAATGAAGGAAGGAAAAGTTGATATAGCTTGTAGTTTGTGGAGGTTTCAGTCCACAATCGGCTGGCGCCAAGGCAGGGTGGTAGTTACTGTTAATTACCAGTTGTCTTCTAGTGAAATTCTGTGTTGCTTACATTGTTCTGTTCTGATCTGCTTTGCTATGTCCTGTTTTGTCTTAATCTCTTAAAAAAAAAAAAAGAAAGAAACCCACCCCGTGACTGCATGAGACTCAACCCATAACACTTTTCACGATGAAGGAGCATTCTAGTGGCATCTCTAGAGGCCACAGATGGTACTGGCCATCCTGCACAATGCACAACAGCACCCTCACTCAACTCCAAGAAGGATTATCTGACCCAAAAACGTCACTTGTGCCAACACTGAAAAACCATTTTTTGTTTTTATGACTATAATGGCAAAAAAGAAGCTAACAAAGATTTTTCAGAATTATCAGATGAGTAAAAAGGATGCTAAGAAATAAGAGAACACCACTCTGAATTCAATTTTAATTGTGAAACTAGAAATTCTACCCTCTGAGGACAACATTCTTTATTAATTCTCTGAACCCTAATCATCAGTGAGTGATGCTTACATATAAACAAAAAATATATAAATATATATGGACAAAATATATATTATATATGGCAAAAAGTATGTATATATATAGTAAAATACATATATACACACACACACATATATATATGCAAAAAGGCATCCCTATCCAGTTAGTCAAGACAAGAACCTAAACCAACCAATTTTACTTAAAATATGTATAAAGGTATTCTTAATCTTTTATGATACTTATGCAACTAAAATTATTTAAAATGACTGATAGATGCTGAACGCAGGTATTCAAATAAATATGGGTAAAACTAATAATTTAAAAGGAAAAGCATCCAATTAGTATTCTAATCATTGTTTATAAATATCAAAGTATTTTCCAAATATGAAGCAAAAAACCACTTCCTTCTCTCTAACAATTAGTTGCAATCAAAGTTTGCAGAAGTACTGCATATTGACCATGGTAGCTAGAACTAGAGCAACAACCAGTTACCTGTCAGCGATATATTTCTTTTTTTTTTTTTTTTTAAATTTTATTTAAGGAGAAAAGAAAAAAAAGCAGGGAAAGGGTACAAGTTATACAGATTTACAGAAAAAAAATGAACAGTAGGAAATCACTAGTTAATGGATTACATATTGTCATCTTAGAAATAATTGTTCAAGTCACAAAATTAAAGCTTGTAAAGTGGACATTCCATCAATGATACTGCAAACAGTTCTGTTCATTGATCCAATAAAACTCTGTGATATCATTTTCTATCTTATACACTTAAATATACATGCAGTTATGTAGTTTAGAGCACTTTCTTTTCCTCTATTTTGTACCATGACTATTACACATTTTGGGTTTCATTGCTCCCACGGTTCTTATTACTTTTTTGGAAGAGAGTAAAACCAAATGTGACATAACAAAACAGAATCGGTCAAGTCAAAAGGGTGGACATAATAGATAATGTAAAAACATAATACAAGATGATCAACAATGGTTACCATAATGTCTCCCGCTATCTCTAATAGAATTGCCTATATCATTAGTTATAATACAATTGAACAAAACAGTAAAGAATAAAACCGACAAAACCAAAACATTGGAGACATTGTAGGTCTTCAAAAGTAGATAAAAGTCAACAAGAATGGGCGTCATAATGAATCTCATTATCTTCACAGCTGATGCCTAAACTTTCGAACCTGATACTATCCAGCAAAACAGAATAGGGGAACATCAGTTAAAAACCAGATGGTGAGAGTAATACAGGGCTTTAAATCAAGGTAATGAAAAGTCAAAGTGGGTTACTATAATATATCCTGCTATTTTTTTTCCTTTAATTAAAAGGATAAAGATAAAAAAGTAAATAATGGAGTGGAGATTGAGATAAAAGAGGGCATAACAACGAAACAGCGCAGATCAAAACATAACCATTTAAGCAGAAGTGTTTCACCACCAGATAATCCTAACCTAAAAGTAGTTACCATATTGTTTCTTTCTTTGAAATCCTTGAGTACAACTTCGTATACTGTAGCATTAAGTATATCAAAACAACGTAAAACCATTCAAGA